CTAGTGTCTTTATGAAAAGTTCCGTCTATGCTAATTCACAATAATATGTTAAGCATTTTTCCTTCGATTCGAACACAATAATATCTTTGTTGGCTTGAGTTTAGTTTAACGTTTTATCTGTTTTTAGAGGGATGAGCGCACGATACTTCAGCTGGATTATAAGGATCAGCACAACGGTATGTTGTACGAAGGTTGCTACTCTCTACAGAATGGCATGTGTCAGCCAATGTACAGCGCAAATGGTGTGGCGTTGCGCGCCATAGTATGGAGTGTGGCGTACGTGAATTCAAAAAGTGTCGCTGCGTTGATGCGCTAGAAATTACGGCAAGCCTGTACATGACGCACAGGCTGAGCTATTGTTTTGTGGATCTGTGCGACCCTTTATTTCAAACAGGCAGTTATTTGTTTCCCATTTCTGCAATAATATATGATGAAAATATTTTCCCTATGAGCCAAGAAGGTCTCTTTTAAGTGAGCATATCACAGCGTCATTGCGGTGACCGCATTCGCAGAAAATATCTTACAGTATGAAATCTTTTATTGCAGCGTGTATTTCTACGGAATGTAATCTTGTGGGTACAAATATATTTAGACTTAGAAAGTCACATGAAAGGTCGCTCTGCGGTTTAATTACTTTAAGCTGGATGCGACAAATCTTCCGGTTTTATTAGGGCGTCAAACATACGGGGCTGCGACTTCCGTTGAGTTTACACAGGGGATTTCAACGTTAATCAGATTATTGAAAAGGGTCTGCAGGACCAGTGCTTAATGCCGTACTGAGGCTTGGTGTCCCATTTAAACGCCGCCGTGTCTCGCGACTGCAGGAAATTAAAACTAGCTTTTTCATTCTACATACAAAATTTAGAGGTTGTTTGATTATTTATTACTGCAGTAACAGCTGATCATGTATAATTTAAGTTGTGTGGCCAGTATCAGTGGTGCTGATTGTACCAGAAATTTTAGTGTGCCTTTGCAACGAACTGCTCAACGCTCCCATATAGATTCCCTTCTGACAGCCAGGATAATCATTGCCGTGATCTCCTTCTGCTTGAACGTTGCTTTACTAATCGTGCATCTAATCAAACCGGGTTATATCACCCATTTCACCATATACCTCTTGTTTCTCTATATTGCCAATACGGTGTATTTAGCCGGTGCATCGCCGTTTATTTTTCTCAGCGAGGTGGGTACATCCCCTTTTTAAAACCACTTATTTAATTGGACGATAAACAGGCTCAGCTAAAAACTCGTGTAAGCACACTGTGTAGCTCCAGAATTGGACTATTATCCAATTTTCTTGAAACTTTGCTGTAAAACGCATTCGTCCGTAAAGAGGCAAATCCAGGTTCATAACATCGTTTTGAAATTTTAAGGTGTTTATACGTATTAATTTTACTGTAATGTAAATGTAGTACACATTTGCAGGTTTACAGTATCGACATCGGTTACTACGGTCAGCCGCTCTGTTTATTCTTCAACTACTTCCAGCGCATCGTCAGCGTCATTCCGGTACTGTGCCACGCCCTCATCGCCCTGAACCGGTTGTGGGCGTTGCGCTATCCCATCAACTATCGCAACCACCACACGAAGAAGACCGCCGGATTCATCTGCCTGGCCATGGTCCTCTACGTCCATCTCATCAAACTCCCGGCTTTTATAATCTACCTCCCGTATCGCTACCATTCTGTCACGGCATCCTTGGCGCAGTGCAAAGACCCAACGTCTGCCGGGTACCGCACGTGGGCCCGCACGGATCTCGGGATGAATCGGCTGGCGCCGTTGTTCCTGATCATCGGGATCTATGTGTACCTGATGATTAAACGGTTCCTGCGGAAATTAAACCCTACGACCGGCAGTCAGCGGGGAAAGGTCACCCACCGCAACGTGGTCCGGCCCTTTCTGATCCTGACGCTGACCACCATCGGGGTGGTGGTCAGCTGGTTACCACTGGATGTGGTATACTTTTTCCATTGGTTTCTGGAAATAAGCGTGTCGCGTACCGTGTATACCGCGTCGCATATGTTGTACACGTTGCAGATTTTGTTTGATCCACTGATGTGGATTGTTAGTTTAAGGAAAATTAGGAAGCGATAAATTATGTGTTTTTTTCTTTTGCGCTGACTGTTACTGTAGTCCGCTCTTGTTCAGTTTTTAATATTTGTAGTTTTTGATGCGATACAGGACAAACATAAATCGGCTTTGTCGTAGAATTACATGTATCAAAGGTCACTGAATTTATTTATTGGTAAATGTTTATGACGCTAACAACATCTGTATGATTTTGATTGAATTTCACAAAGCGGTTTTAACGGTTGACGTAGAAATTAAAGAGAAGACTGGTCTTTAAAATATTATTACTAGTACATTGTAATTATATTCGAACAGACTAATTAAATTTATTGCTTATTTATTTACAATTTTGCCACATCATTCCGCTTGCCGCGTAAGTTTGCGGTTAAATATTACGGAAGACGGTTACAAACTGTACAGCAGAAGAAACGGTTTATTGATAAAATAACGACCTCTTTCGTGATTTTCCTGTATTTATTACTAGTGATCGCAAGCGAGACGGTTCGTGAGGTCTTCTTTCGTCACCAGGGCAAAACAGAGAGGATTTATTAAGGATGTTTTGCCTGTTCCGTTAATCCACCGAGATTAGCGTGCCGCCACGCCACCCAGCCGCTTAATTAACGTGTTGGATTTTTAAATAAATATTTTCCGTACTTTACCGATCTTCCGTGCCAACACCGGTTGACGCAGTACACCCTGCTGTTTGAAGGAAGTCTGCATCCGCGTAGACAATAGTTGCTCCGCGTGTGCTGCCAGGAAACTACGCGGGAAAAAATTCCTAACGGTTACAGACAGTAGAAATAGAATGCTATTTCTTGCCGATATGAAATCAATAACTGCACGTTTTCCTGTTGATATAACCGATCGTGTTCCTTGTTGACGTAGTCTTCGTAAAAGCCGTCCGGTACCTTTAATTATCAGCCCTTAATTTCGCCGTAATGAAGCGCGCAATAATTAAAATTCTTGATGCGACTAAAAGGTCATTTGTACCGCTATAATTTAGCCGATAAAATGCTGTGTAACCGCCTTGAATTCAGCTCTACACAACTATACAGAACGCCGCCGCCATGGACTACGCGAATCTGTCTTTCCACCACAACGTGACCTTTAACATCTCCCGCAACGGAACAGTGCCGGACCTGTCCATTCCATCCGATCGCTCGGTGCTGCTTTTCGCTATCCGCATCGCTATTGCGGCTGTGTCGTGGTGTTTAAACGCCGGTTTACTGGTTTTTCACGCTATTAAACCAGTGTACATCACGGATTTTACGACGTATCTGTTGTTTCTGTACTTAGCTAATGTCGTTTACTTGACCGGCGCGCAACCGTTAATTTTTTGGAGTGAAGCCACTAATCACGATGTCGGCTATCTTGGGCGGTCGGCCTGTACTGGGTTTAATTACATTCAGCGTGTCGCCAGCATTGTGCCGTTGATGTGCCATGTACTGGTGGCAATAAACCGTTTCTGGGCGCTGCAATGGCCGATTCATTACCGGAATAAACATAACAAGAATACTGCGTTGTGGATCTGTCTCGGTATGGCGACGTTTTATATTAAAAACAAAAATATTTCGAGCCGGTGTTAGGATGAGTTGAAAACATAAAAACACGTAGTTACATATTTTTATGAAGACGTTTCCGCAGCTAATTGTTGAGGTGTTTGACTCCCAATGTTTTTACCTCGATTTATTTTTAAATTTTTTTTAAACCGTTGGATGCAATTTAGAAACGTTTCAATGAAACGTTTCTGTGAAAGTAATTTGAAATTAATTATAATTTTAAATTATTTACAACTATTTTTAAATTACTTAATTTTCAAAATATTTTTAAACAAAAATATAAAATAGTAATTTTTATTTGAAACATAAAAATAAGAAAAAAATAAGAAAACAAGAAAATAAAAAGATATAGACTTACTGGCAAAAGTACAACACATAAGAATATGTCAGCGCTGATAGACACTAATCAAAATGATTCAAATTTAAGCAAAACAAAATTGGCATCTGTGACATCTCCTACCCCTTCCCAGTCCCAGTGAACGTACTGTGGGATAAAGGCGTCCTTACGATACCACACCTACCAAGATACCACACCCACTTTTTGCCGCCCGCTCGGTCAACCATCCGCGCCACGGCCGACCGGATAAGAGCGGCCGCTGGCCGGTACACCGTAAAGTGGTGCGGCCGTTTCTGGTTCTGACGCTGACCACCATCGGAGTGGTGGTCTGCTGGCTGCCGTTAGATATTATTTATTTTCTACAATGGTTTCTCAATGTGAATGTCGCCATGGGATGGTTCCGGGCGTTCCAGATGCTGTATACGCTGCAGATTTTGTTTGATCCGCTGATGTGGATTTTTAGCTTGCGTTTGCGAAAAACTGCTGCGTAATTCTCAGGCCCATATTCTTCGCTGCGTTAGTGTTACATTGTCACATGAATCTTGAGGGTGGTTGTATCATTTTAATTATTTTAATGTTACATAACCGGAAAGACTGGGTTATATTTATTCAAGAAATGTTTCGAATATGTCAGGCAGTTTTAATTATTCTTGTAAAATCAGATTGCGTGATGCGTGTATTGAATATCATGTGATGCTTTACCGTAAACCGTAATCAAGTAATACAAAAATAAATTACTAACGCACTTTGACAGCAGTACACCGTGTCTGTACACAGTACTGCTGTAGATCTAGAGCATTATTAAGCCGTCTTAGTACTAAGCTGTAGTTGATTGTTAACGTTATGAAGAGCTGCCTTGTACGTACGGTTGTACCTGTTCCGTGCTTATCAAAGGCAAGAAAAAGCAATCTTGTTCGTTGAGCAAACGAAATGCCATTACTTATATCACCGTTTCTAAGATCATTCGTTTCCTTGTCAGAGTTGACACTTATAATCCTTATCCGTTAATCACATAAGCTCGAAATTCGTGAATGACAATATCTTTATCACACTGTAGATTACGATTTTCGCGAAATAGCGTTATAAATCACGGGCGTAATCTTATCCTGTCTTACGCGTTATCGGCGCAGCAACTGAATGTTACCAGCTTCGTTACAAGAAATGTTGTCACAAGAGAGAAAAATTCTCAGATTTCTTGGCAAGAAAGCATCGCGTTATGTGAGTCCCGGTTTACAGCCGCGTGCGTTGTAATTCAAGAAATGCTGCCGTTTCCTGTTTTTGTCCTCTTTCTCGGGTTGGGTTGCGCCACGGCCGCGCCTTCCCTGAAATACATCACCCACCATGACCTTTCTCTAGTTTGGCAAGATACCGGCAGCGGCGCCGACCACGACGGTTCATACTGGACGCCGGTGAATCTCCCTCCTGGATACTATTACCTCGGTCATCTGGCCAAATCAGGACACTCCCTCCAGCGGGACGCTGATTACGTGACCCTCGTCAAACCGCTGACGGAGGACGCCGTACACCCACCCATCGCTCTGGAATGGGTTTATGACGATTCAAAAACCGGGGCGGAATGGCCGCTGACCATCTTCAACCCGGTGCCTCCGCGCGGCTACACTTGTCTGGGACACGTGGCGCTGCGAGCACGGCGGGTGGTGTCCGTCGACCAGTTTGCGGGATTGGTGTGCGTCAAGACGGAACTGGTGGTCGGCGGGGTGGCAGGGGTGGAGACGTGGAATGACCGGAAATCCGGGGGGCAGTATGATTATTCCTCGTGGACCATAGTCCCGGCGTCCAGCTCCGACGGGATGGGCGTCCATAATTTCGTGGGGCACCAGTCGTACGGCATCCCGGGCGGATTATCAGCACAGTTTGTGCTAAGACGGTCGGCCGTGGAGTCGGGTGTGACGCCGATCCCGCGGGAGGATATCCCAGGGTTGATTACGCAACATGCTCCCAATGTGCTGTTTCATCCCGAGGACCAATACATGCCGGACAGCGCCGAGCACGTCTTCAACAATTCATTGTTTCGATTTGGTGTTGTCAATAACGAGGGTAGTTACGATGATTTCAGCTTGGCGGACGCCGGGGAAATCCCGGTCAGTGTCGTCCGACAGACACTGCAGGGAAAACTCAACCAGGCGACAGTCAAGCAGTACCTTATCGATCACAACCACATCAGCGGGGATATTGGACAGCGCGTATGGCTCCGCATTCCGGAGACTCTGTGGCCCGGCAACCTCCCGCGGACCCGGGCGTACGTTCGGGTGGTCGGGGACGCCAGCCGACCGTTCACCGACATCGTCTTCTACTTTTTCTACCCGTTTAACGGGCCCGGGAAGTTCGAGTACGGCTGCGGACTCATCGAGCAACAAGGCCAGATGACCCGCGCCGGGCGCCATCAAGGTGACTTCGAAGCGTACACCCTCCGGTTATTTAACGGGTCCGCCGACACCCCTCCGACCCCGGTAGCCGTGTACCTCTCGGTGCACAACGGCGGCTATTGGACCAACTACGACCAGCTGGTTCGGGTGGACAATCACCCGGTGGTCTTTTCAGCCAAGGACTCCCATGCCATGTATCCGGGGGAGGGTGTCCAGGGATACTGTCGGCCGCGGGCCATCTTCGTCGGGTTCTGTACATTCTATGTGGAACTACAGGATTATTGTGGGCGCGGGACGATGCTCCGGGTGGCCGAGCAGTATCAGTTGGTGGACGAACGAACGGCGGCGACTGGGTGGATGACCTTTGATGGGCGGTGGGGAGATTATGAGCGGGTGCATGAGTACTACCCGATGAGGGTGAGTTCGTACAAGGCTGTGGAGAGCGGACCGAGTGCACCGGCGTTCAAGACGAGTTGGAGTACGCCGGAGCTGAATGATCAAGTTACTTGTGATTAACAAGCGGTGAACGTTGTGTAGAGCGTGTAAGCGGGGAACGTTGTGTTTTAGGTAATCACCTCATACATATTTGTAAACATGTTTTTATGCTTATGTGCGACTCTAAGCCGACACGAACTGTAAACGGGCTGCAGCACCATAGTAACCATAAACACGCCGCGTTTACAAGCGTTGCCAGGCACCTATAAATCCAAATATAAACTACTCCGTACATAGAAAAAAATAAAAATTATTATTACTTTCAAAAATCATTCAGACGGTTTACGCAATAATCAGGCCGTTGTGAATGCACAGAACGTTGCCTCTACTTGATTATAGTACACGCCCTTCCTGCATGCTTCTCGCAGCGATGAACGGGTGAGGGAGATGAAACGGTGTTGTTCATCCGCGCACAACCTGCTTTGTCTGGCAGTACATGGACTCCCGTAGATTTTCACATAGCTCACTGGGTCCTCCGCGATACACCTGCAACAAAATCCCTATAAATGGTTAGACATGCGATGGGTGTTAGTTTGGGAATAGCCTCCAATTTTCTGGTTTCTAAACTTGCTTAACCGTATAGTGTCTTTATCGGCCGCCCTTTGTTTGCTAGTTCCTGGCTTGGGGATGTGTTTCGCATGAGAGACGATTTTACTAAGCGACTTTTCAAAAGAAACACCCGCCGATAAAAAAATGATGGGTTTAACTTTAATGATGTGGTCATGATGCAGCTAACATTGTAAGTGTGTGGCGTACAGACTGTATATACGTACAACATTACACAGCGATAAGGGTGTTTCTATTCCAACAAACATGTAAGTACCGATTTGGGGCCTTTCTCCCGGCAGTGGTAGCTCATCACCAGCACCATCTCCATTGTGTCACCACTGGGCCGGCCCAGCTGCTCTTTGGTGGCGTATACCGTGCATTCCCGCATCCCGTTGCAGTCGTAGGCCAGCAGGTCCTGCACACTAGCCGGGCCGTAGCACCAGGGTTTATCGCGGCCGCGGCGATCCGGCTGAAAGCAGGCTTCGTCGATGGCCAGGTGCGGGTAGTCGATGGGGCAGCGAATCACCTGCTCCTGGCCTTCCTTGAGAATCAGCGATTGGTAGAAGGACCCGGCGACCGTGGGGTCATTGGCGTACAGCTCGGCGATGGAGGGTTCTTGGTTCTGGGCGGTGATGAGAATCTGGGAAATATATACGCAGGTCGATCGTTATTATAAATTGGCTGATCGGAATGTTTCGGGAAATGTTATTGTTCGACCATTTAAAAATTCTGAGTTTTTCGTAAATGAAATGCAAGGAGTTCAAGAACGTGGCAGTCATGAACATGCGATGGTGCAGAAGATATGGAATGTTTAGTGTAAAGACTAGCAACCTGCCTACAGCCTACCGTTGTGCTAATCCTCAGAATCCAGCTAAAGTATCGTGCGCTCATCGCTTGAAAAATCAAATAAAATGGCAAATTTACATTACACTCAGGCCGACAAAGATGTTATTCGAATCGAAGGAAAATTGCTTAATATGCAGCGTAACTTGTGGTAAACTGCCGCGTGCACAGGAAGATAACTACGCTTAATCAGATTGCAAGTACGCATTGTACAATCACAATGTACGAGTAAGTACGAGTTCGTGAGTGCACTTACTGTTAATAATTATTACCTGTAAATCACTAATAAGTTTATATTCTTTTATTACTTATTGTATTATGTGTACTTTTGCGCAATTGCATAATTATGTACCATTCCATTCGGGATTTAATACGATTCAAATAAACAGAAACCGGATAAATGCAGTAACCAGATGAATAAAAACCGGTACATTCGGTAAATTCGTACAGTGCGCTGTAATTTAAGGTAGGTTGCACCAAACCCTCCCTGCGCGGTGTATAACATGAAAAGCGTTTATTTTGCCGTACGCCTTTTTGTGGGTTGCATATAAAGACAAAAACTCTTTCGTAAGTAATACTCATTTTTGTAGGAGGTAGTACAATATTATTAATTTTTGTTTTTGCGTTCACCTCATTACTGCATGACAAAATTGACAAGTTTTCTACAGTAGATGACAGTACAGTATTATTTACCCGCATTTAGGAAATCGACTCAAATTCGCGCTGAACCGTAGAAAAACAGATACAAGCTATACAGCGTATCTAGCCACTGACGTCCATCCGTAACACCTAACAGAAAGCATAAGTATTTCAGACCGCTTTCCCAAGATGAAAACCAAAGCAGAATCGCCTAAGCTACAGCAGTAAGGAAGACATTTGAACAGCAAACGTTCAACGTAAAAAAGGTAAACCCATAGGTCGGATCCCACCCAGCAGCCCAGCTGCTGCACTACTGTGAGGAACAAGTTCGCCGCTGTCATGCTAACCAGGAACGCGGCATTTAGACTCTAATCTTAGTGCCTCGCTGCTTTCGGGAGCGACACGAGCATGAAAATTGGCCATGTGATCCCGCGAAATAATGTTTTCCGCACTTGTCACAATGACGATCCCGAACATCGCCTATCAAAATGTTCCAGTTTAAAATATAAATTTATACTTCTGCATGCAGTAATAAGCCGGTAAAACAGCTATTTTCGGTACCCATGCAGCTCTTGCAGTCCGTACAGTGGTTCGTGAATTTCCCGTCACAGAATCGTGGCTGGCCAGTGCACAAATCTGTCACGAAGAAACCTTGGTTGCAAGCACTGCACCGAACAGGATAATCGCCTGCTCCGTAATATGCGTCGGCTCCTGGAAGAAATAAGCTGGAAATTAATACGAAATTATTGGAATGTTAAATTTATTAATGTGATCACAGTTTTCCAGAACACTATCGATTATCTTCCAAATAACGACTGCAGCTTCACCATAAATCAGTTTACTGAAGCTGTGGTTGCTAATTTTATCCTTCGGTGCGTTAAATTAAACTGAACACGCTGTATTTTTTAAGATTTTACCTTAAAAATTTGATTAACCTGCTATTAGTTTTCATGCCGGCAAATTTAGCCGGCTAATTACCGTTATCCTTTTGATACAAAATCATTCTCAGCATAACGTCGATCCGGGTCTTACAGGGCATCCCAAAAGTTTCCCCACACACTCCGCTGGAAATCACCGCATCCAAATCGGCGACACTGTCCAGTTTGATAAAACGCCGAGCGATCGCCGACCGGACGCAGTGGCCGACCGCGTCCAGATCTTGCACTCCTGCCTCCTGTAATTTCTTCCTCACCTGGGCCAATGTGAGCATACGAGGCATTCGAGCTCCTGTTTCGGCTGGCTTTGCCTGCTTTTTTGGGCGAGACGACGCTGTACTTGTCCTATCTTTGGCCCTCTTTCTACGCAGCTTCGGTACTGTGGACCTGCGTCGCTTCGAGCTTGATTCGGATGGTACCCCTAATGGCAATGGCATTGGCCCATTCACAACCGTGGGCCGCTGGTCAGGCACATTCGGAGAAGATTCGTCCGACATTTTCGTCGTACCTGGGTTTCGCTTTAGAATTCTAGAGTAATACGTGTGTCAGATGATGTACAGGGCGCGGAAACGCAACGTTGTGAGCATTCACAGTTCTATTTTTAAATAGCGCCGCCGTTTCTAGCGCTCACGCACTCAGTATTAGATTCAAAAGCTTGCTTGCTTTTTGTACATACAAATCAAATTTTGCACACGATGAACAAACATTCTGGAAAATTGGTAAATGCAAAGTGAGACCTAAGTTGTTTGAAGTCAGAACTGAAACATACTGTACATGTTTTTGCCCTGAACAGGAATGTTTCCCGCACCTCTTGTTAACTGTCAGTTTCCGATTTCATGAAGGACACACTAACACAGGCCCGCCAAAAAACAGTGATATCCGCGATGGGAAAAGTAGTAAAGTGATCGGTAGCTAGTGCTTGACACAAGCTATTGTCTTGGCAGTCTCTGGATCAAGCGTGCTGGATACAAAGTGCAGTTACAGATGCATCGAAATAAAGATTCCGGAGGTGGGCTGAATTTTATGTAATTAAAGGTACTTCTGGTGACAGCTCAATGCCTTAATTATACGTAACGCTGTATTGCAGTACAGTAAGTATTTTAATTTTTTTTCGTGGTCCGCATCATGTTTGTTGTTGTTGTTTTTGTTTGCATAAGTCATGTTTAAACCAACACATTGGATTCGTTGCTATGCTGATGTCAACACAGCACAAAGTGTTGTGTGTCACTGCTGACCCCTGATTTTAACGCGGACTGGAAATTGAAACGCTAAAAAGTCAGTTAACTAAGTTAAGTACCATATTACAGTACTAGTAATTTTGAGAAAAGTAGGTATAGTACTTATTTACTTACATAAACAATACAGGCATCGTTGTACTTGACGTTTACGAAATTAAGTGTACATACCGTGTGTACAGTACATGCTCAGTGTACATGCCGTGTACGATAAAGTGCGCACATCAGGAAAATCGATGTGTTATAAGTTATTGTTTCAGTACGATTGTGTTTCGCCTAATGCTTATTAAAGCAAAAGATGGGATGTATGTTTAACAATCGTGATGCAGCGACATTATTTCGGCAAACAGCCGAGAAAAGCATGTTTCCCATCAACATCGCCCGGTCAACTGCACCATTGTGTACGATAAACGTTTGCTGAGTTTAATAGTTTAATACAGCATTAATGCTGTAAACGTAATGTTGCACCATAAAATTCCGTACAGTGTGGTAAAAGCCCGTTCACAAAAAAGTTGAAAAGAACAGTTACGATACCACACCGATAATATATTTATCTGTAAAGTGTATTATAACGTCGAAGCCGGCGTATAAAATTCCGCGTTTATAAGTGAGTTTTGCTCGGGGCTTTTTTCCGTCTGGTCAATATTTTCGTGGCATTACCTTGAGAATGTTAACATCGCAATAAATCAAGCGGTATTTACCGCTGCTTTTACGAGAAAAGTAGCAATGTGGATTGTTTGTAATTTTGTACAGTAGTACTTGATGATCTGCCGACAGTCTACAGCTTCGGTCTATGTACCTGCATAAAATAGTTGTACCTTGCCAAAATCATTCTGATTTTTCATTCATTCAAAATTATTCTTTGGAAATTTCCAAAAACCTTTTTTTACGTCTAAACGTGCTTCACTGTAATGCCTCTCCCATCTTCCATGTCACCTCAAAACGGCTACCGACAGGATGTCTGGAATCCCGGGTGGCCGTACGGACCACGCAACGCTCTGGTGAATTTACATATTATAAAATTTGACATTTTGTATTTTTCTATCAAAAACTTTAACTATCTACCAAAAATGGATTCATCATGTACTTTCCACCAAATGTCTTAAATTCTACTTAAAATTTTATAATATGGTATTTATGTAACCATTGTATGTATATATCTACTTATATTCTATGTATGTATTTACTTACTTATGTATTCACGTATCTGTCATGTACTTTCTATCAAAATGTGATTATTTCTTACAGTATTATATTGTATTTATGCATTTATCGTTTATTTATGCCTCTGTATTTTCCTTATGTATCTGCTGTATGCATTTGGTTTTTTTAAGCTGGTTTCTTGGTTATTGTGTTTTTTAAATATTTTTTCTTGGCTTATACAGTATGTGAACATAATCCCAGTGTATTTATTTACTTTATCCTTTTTGAAACGTAATTTTTATAAGAAATGCATTTATTACTTTTTATTGTTTAAATAAATTATTTATTTTCATGTATATTTATGTACCATTGTTTTATTTATTTAGTTTTACCAGTCGCAGCGAGCGTTGTTCGTACGCGATGATTACTGCGGCGATCAGAACGAGCGCTACCGAAAGAACAGTTTCGGTAGCAGTCTGGATGGACACATCGAGGCGCCCCTGACAGGACGCGGGAGCATTTTACACAACGCAGATGCCATGGCCAAACAAATGGCTATGGATGCACGCGCCAGGACTGCTCGTGACGCGGATACCTTGACCAGAAACATGGACATGGATACGCGCGGTGGATATGGATACATGTCCAACGTGGAGTACCGATCGCGCCATGCCCAACCGGCCACCAGTAGTACGTGAAGCCAGAATGCAAAATATGTAAAGCAGCACAATATTAATCTCAGATTTATAACTAGAGCAGTGAAAAATGCAAAAGTAATAAGTGAACCTTTAACAAGATAAGTAACGTTTTGATAGCGCATTGTAAAATTGTCCACGTTACATGATTTTACACTGAGGCCATTGCTCTATTGGCTAGTGCGGACGGTCTGAAAAAATCCTCGTTTCAAAACGTTTCCGCTTTCTGAAGAAACATAGACCACAATAGGTTTTTAAGCGCAAAAAACCTGCTTTTTTTAATAAAAATGTTTGCTGTTTTTAGCGTGGTCGGCGAACGGTTCGAATGCTGTAAGGCAAGGATCAGGCCCTTCCACATCCAAGTACGAGCACCAGTATACCGGTTATGGTTATCCCGGAGCAGCGCGCCCGTCCAAAAAGGTCGAAGTTCACGATTCACCGGCATAGCACACCAAATGCCGGATTTGCTGTTAACTGTCCAGTTCGCTTTAGTGATGAAATGACGTCCTTTTTTGCTGTTCAAGAGCAGAAAATTTCGCCCTACTGACTCAAGTGTTCGCATCTCAGCCTGTACATATTTTATTAATTTTCTCTCGGTAAACAAAACCGTGAATGTCTTGTCAATTAAATCCGTTCGTATTTTCTACACACCGCTTGTTGTATGTAATGATAATATCTTTGCATCATTCAGACCAAAATTTACTGTATTGAAACTGGCGTGGATCAAAGAAAGCCACTGAAATCTATCTTTTAGACAAACAAACTCAAATGTCAGCAATCTTATAGGAAAACAGGCAACGCACTTTTTTAGGCTTAGAATAGCTACACAATGCACTTTGCATTAGGGCCGCACTAACTAGCCACTAAGTGCGTTTTTTATTACGTACATCATACGTTTCCTTTGTATGTATATCTAGCAGTTATGAGGCATTACCAGTAATTTTTTCGTCTCACCCGTTTAATCAAATCCCACCGCAGAATACGTTGGATAGAAAACCAGCGAAAACACTGCACGTAATTAGACGTTTCGGTATCCCGCATCCATCCGGCAACTACGGATGTTACCACCCACCGACACCTAATTAAACATAATTACCGGATCATGTTCACATGGCACACTCAACGATCGTGGTAATACGCAGTCAAGTTAGCCAATCGATTAGCACACCTCTGAGTCGTCATCCCGTGACGATCACCATCTCTCACTGCGTTCCTGATCGCCGGGAGGGATATTCTCCGACGCAGTCTCAACTCTCAAGCTAGTTCGGAAGTGCACGGAAATCTACCCTTGATTCCGTGATGCATCATTCATAATCAACGATATCGGTGTCCCTTTTGTTCTACCTATATAAAAAGCCCATGGTGATCCTGCCAGCAGCGATGAATTCCCGGGATGCGTTGCATCATGCCCATCACACGATCAGCACACCGCTGCGTAGACTAACATTAGTCACGACGTATCAGCTGCGTTTTATTTGCAGAGACATAACGACAATTAACAACATGTGGACAATCGCAAAAACTGATAGCTTTCGACGTGCCAGCCGTTTCCAGGAATATATTTATTTAATGCAGATGCGCGTGCAAATCACGGGTTGATTGTCTCCCTTGAAAGCATTCAAAAAGCTGCGGAACGGCTTTTCTTGGATTTCAAATCGTCCAGATCTGTTTTACTATCGCAACGTTAAATTCTGCGTTTTTCCATCCCAAAGGTCACTTTTTTCTAACTTTACAGCCGGACGAATTTTGGAAAGTTTTGTTGATGACGTTAGACAAAGGTCACGGCTAAAACATGAATCAAAATCTGTCGGGGAATTTTTCACTGAATATTACAAAATTGCCGGTGTGGATCATCTATTCCGACGCGTTCGCCGTGTGGACGACACTCTCCCTGGCGTTCTCCGTTATCAGTACGCTGGCGTCGCTCTTGCTGCTGTTTGCCATCTTCCACCGCGGTATCCGTTGGGGCTCGCAGATGCTGATCGCTAACGTGATTGTCTTGGAAGCGTTGGTCAGTGCGGTGATCCTGCCCACCGCCGTGCTGACCTCGTACTTTCCGTCGCTGCGGCTCACGGCGGCGGGTTGTGATTATTATTATTTCTTCGTGGTGTGGATTCCGCATGGAGCTCAGTATGCCTCGCTGCTGTTGGCGGTGAATCGGGTCAATGCGATTTTTTGTCCGCATCGGTATGGGCAGTGGCGGAATCGGCGGTTTTTGGTGCCGGTGGTAGCGTTGTGCTGGATTATCTCGTTTTCTTTGGCGTGTGGGTATGTTATGAAAACACGCATGGCGTCAAGCACGAACACAAACTGCAGCAAAAAATTATAAAGTTTAAATTATGGAGCCATAGATAAGTCTTTCACTTAATTTGCATACACCACCATAAATCAAGCGCTACCTGCAGTTTCCATATATTTAAAGCAATACATAGCTCTCTACCCAGGGACTCGATTTTCTTTAAAATCCACATGCAAGGTCAAGGTTTAATCGCTTAAAATTGAATAATGTTTTAGCAGTATGTGCTGTTTCCATAAACTGCTTTAAGAAATCTTAATTGTTTTACCCGATTTTTACTTGCAATCAAATAATTTCGACAGTTTAAATTAATGGATGCGATTACTGTTGCATTATTGAGTGAGTGATTGGTGTGATTGAGTCGTGTGATTGGTGTACAGTATTATACCGGAAATTCAATAAATACAAGCATTTAAAGTTAAACGTCTCAACACTGTATAGTAGTTTTTTACCTACTGTTTGATCAGTTTTGGCTTTATTGCAATAACCAAAATTTTACATGAGAAGTTCAGGTTATTGAGAAATATACCCGCGATTTACTAGATGTAAAACACAGAAAATCGTAATGTTATGGCATCAGCAGAAAGAGGTCCTCGAGCTTCGCTGATAAAACCTAATTTAAATAATTCTGAAGGATACAAATTCAAACAACAATTTGCTGCTCACTTTTTAAAAAAAATTAAAGCTGTAACCGTTTCTACGTCGTGATATTGTGCTTGGGGAAGGGCTACCAGATGGCGGTGTACTCTACCAGTTTTGCTCTTCCTTAATCGCACACCTTTAACAATTTACCTGGTAATTAATGAATTTGGTTATATTTCTTTAAATCTGTTGATGATGTAATGGCGTTGTTTCAACTTGAGTACATAAAATGAATTTTCTTGTTTAATTTCGCAACTGATTACATTTTTAATTAATTTAACTTCATTTTGTTATAAAATAATTCACAGGTATGTCGGCAAAATCGGCGCTACCGGACCTTGGCCAAGCTGCGGCATCTCCGTTACTTCACCATCGGAGCAGCTGTTTCTTTCCGTGTTCCTAACCGTCTTCGGCTTATACATCCCGTTAGCCGGGACATGTCTCTGCTACTTAGCCATCTTCTGTTCCGGGATATGGCGCAGATTATCCCGCTGCGGGATTGTGAATACCGGTGTTACTTCAAACGGTGTGGAGAATGTCCAGCAGAAGCGGCAGATCATCGCCAATGTCTTGGTCGTCTCCTGTGCTGTATCGCTGCTGTGCTATCTACCGTTGTGTTTGGCGTATTCGGTACTGTTACGAGTGGTTATCCAGTATCCTCCGGCAATACTGTGGATGCGATTGGTTTATTATATGGGTTACGCCGGGAATTCGGTAAATGCCTGTTATTGCGAATTAACTGTTTCTGCAGAAAATTTATATTTATTGCGTTATAGTTAAAGGAAGTGTGCCGGTAAATGGTACCAAATTCGGCTACATGTGCCAAAACGTTCACTTTCGCGCACTCTCAAAACCTTTTTTCACGGTTTTATGACATTAATTTTGTAGCCAAATTATCTGTATACATCGGCGTAAAAATCGTTTATGCGCGCAAAATTCGGTTGGGAGATAAAACTTCAAAAGCTTAAACGCACGGAGGTGCATTAAAAGTGGAAAGTCTCATTCTTAACCGATCTAAAAATGTAACTGTGCTTGAAGACGCAAATTATCATGAAGATCGTTTTTACACCGAACCAGGTTTCATCATGTTTACGAAATTTTAAAAATGAATTTCAAAAAACTCTTAAATTTAATTAAAAATTTGAAATATGCTGAATGGTTGTTCGGTGTAAAAGCGTTCTTCATGGTAATACGCATTTTCTTGCGAAATTGGGAGAATATCTGTGCATAGGGAGACTTTTGGTGCACCTCCGCGCGCTTTAATTTTTTTGCATTTTCTTGCAGCCATGACTCCCCAACGAAATGTTGCGCGCGCAAACTGTTTTCCCGCCAATGCACTCGTGTAGAAGTATCGCACAAATCATTTGGCTACAGGATGTCATAAAACAATGCAAAACAGCGTTTTCGAGTGCGCGAAAACGAAAGTTTCTGTACATGTATCGCACGAATCTGGTGCTATGTGCCGACATTTCCCTTAACAGTTTTCGACACTACTGAACTGTGCACTGATAAAAATGTTCCCATAAAATAAAGGTCACTTCTATGCGCCAGGAAATTTCATGGCGCATAGTCAATTTTCTATGCGCCAGGAAAAATTCCTGGCGCATAGTCGTTTTGCTATGCGCCCGGAAATTCGCCGCCAAAGATCAAAATTTATTGGTTTGTTGTTAATAACCTGATATTTTCAATTTTGTGAATGCACGTTTAACATTCCAGCCTAGTAAAACATAAGATTCATTACGAAAAGTACAAACTACGATTTCCAAGAACTCAATGTTTACGAAAAAACTAAGAACTACAGTATCGGTAACAATTGTGTTTTCAACATTGTATTAGTTTTCAACATTTGAAAGCACAGAAACGTCCCGGAGAAAGCCCGTCTTAACAAAAATAACGATATGCCGTATTAACGGTGTGAAGTAAAGTTTTAACAGCTGAAATTACCGCGCATATGATCTAAACATTACAGCTGATAAAACTTCCTACCAGCACCGTTGGTGACTGTATTAAAAAGCGATTTTCGAAGTAGTGATAAAGAAACGGACTGTAATCGCAATCAGACGTTTTGGTTACAATTAGACTTCGTAAAGTGATATTGACAACTTAAAAACAACCAAATTTTACTTTTGCGGGAAATTTCCTGGCGCATAGCAAATTGACTATGCGCCAAGAATTTTCCTGGCGCATAGCACTTTCGTTTAATAAATTAAAACATCGATTCATCGGCTGTGCTGTAAGCACAGAAAATCGTAGTGTGCTGGCACCATTAGCCGTAGTACCATCACCCGATACATTGCTGTTAGAACTTATGTAAAAGATGCTGCATTATGAAAAAACTATATAATGCTGAATTTTTTTGGAACCAACTTTGTTATCCTTTTCAGGTCGTGATATTATGCCTGGGAAAGGAATATCAGATGGCGATACACCAGGCGTTTCTCAAAATCAAACCGAATACCAAAGCCAGTAAATCACCGAAATTCACGTTGACAAAAATCACCACAATGGAACATACCGCCTAATTACCGCACAGCACTGTGCTAGGATGCCGTTGCACAGATTTCTCTACCGACTCTACGTATGCTATCGCTATGTGCGGCGCATATCAAATCAAATTGACAAAATAACTGTTTAATGAAGAAATTAGCTGAGAAGTACCGGCTAATTTTTGTCCCCTTTAATTATGCTTTTTTATATGCTTCACAGCATAGGTTGCTTAACATCACGTGCTTTTTGCAGATATGTAGAGAAAATTGTGTGCATACTTTATACCTACATACATAATTACCGAAGTTATACGTCTTTCGATAAAGAAGCAAATTTACATGGAATATCTGGTTTTTGATAGACAGTGTTTTTTATTCATTTTCACCGGTGTTGTCTGTATCGTCACTGTCAGCCACCTGATCCGTCACAACAGACGGTACCGCGTACAGTTCTTCACTGTCTTTCACAGTAAGCAGTACATCTTTCGGTAGACTCTTTAATTGATCGGAGCCGGTCAGATTCAGCATGCGCAGACCGGGTAATTTGAACGGACTGCCGCTCGTCATGTTAATGGTGGCCAATTTCGGGTTCGAATCCAGTTCAATCGTCTGCAAATAAATTTATCGAGAATTATTAGGTTTTCGTTTCTGTTCAACTGAGAAAAACATAAGAAAACAATTACAGTACTGTATATGCATGAGCAACAACCGACGAAAACCCAATAATCCGGAACAAAGCTTTTTTCAAATAATGTTTTTGAAGACATTGCTTTATGTATAAACTATTTTTCGGATGACTTCAGAATTTTTAAATACAGATGCTCACTTTTTTAGCTTGTTACAAGGTATTTTAGATAACAGCACACTAAGTATATAATTCAGTTTGGAAAATAAAATTAAAATATAACTAGTAATTAGTTTTGACATAATAAACCATCTAACAATAATTGTCAAAATCATATTTTACCAACCTAATTTAATAACATTATTAAACAAACTATGCATTCATTAATTATACATACATACTGTATATTTATGAACAATTAAACATAAATATGTAACTAAAGTTTTTAGTATTTACTAGTACCTAATTTTGTGGCCTGAATAACCTGATTCAACATTTATAATGTCGTTTAATTTCATTTATTAACGTTATTCGGAAACTTATAGTTTCTAATATTTAATTTAATGATTTTTTTGCAAAAAGTTGCGCGTGGCAATGTTTCTCGCTGGAACAATGCCACTCAATTACTCAATAAAAAATCAAAAGCGCTGCGTAATTGCGCTCATTAATCACTCTTCGTTATGTACACACTTACGCGTATGCTAGAAGAAACCGGTTCGAACATGCGCCAATCCACCGCGCTCATCGTATTCCCCGACGCGGAAAACCGTTCCAGCGTCGAATGCCCCAGCTGATTAAAAATAAACGTCGGGTACTGCAGTTCCTTGAACACGCCCACGGACAGACTATTAATCTGGCAGCGCTTCACCTCCAGATGCAGCAGCGAGGCAAACCCCCGGAAATCCGCGCTGGTCAGGAACACCAGCTTGGAGTTATGGATATACAGGTACTTGAGCTTCTTATGCACGTTCTCCAGGAACCTGGTGAAGGGTAGCCGCGGTACGGCCTTATCATTGTTAAACTGCATCAACCCCACCGTCACCAGGTGCGGGAGATCCGGGAGAATAGAGGTAGTGTCGCTCAGCATGATGCTGTTCTTCTCCGTGTACTTCTCCGGAGGAACCGAGGCTTTTAGTTTCGTCCCCAAAAAGATCCCCTCGATGGTGGTGGGGATCTCGTTTAAACGGACATGTTTGGACGGAATCTGGAAGTCCCCGGCGCACTCTAGGATCACCGGGACGCTGGGTTCCTCGTTGTAGCGTAATGTGGTGCAGTTGTCGTGGACGGTGCCATGGGAGTAGATGACGTCGGATTGGGCGTTGACAAAGTCCGCGGTGTGGAAGGAGACACTGGGTAGCGCGAGCCAGACGAAAGCCAAGCGGATAGCGGCCATCGTAGACCAACAAAACCTAATGGATGTATTGATTATGATGACCGGCCGCTTAGCCCTAATTGGCGCGCGCTAATTGCGATTATGAAATGGTTGCGGTGCCGAGTGAAAATGCTTCCTCGTATGTTCAGACCGTGGCTAGCCGGTAATGGCTGCAGGGCAGAAGAATCATGTTGATGGTATTTGTGTGGTACGGGTGCTGTACCGGTGTGTGTAGGTAATTTGATATGCTACACATGTGCAGATTTTTATTAGCAAATTGGCTTAGTGTAGCCGTGTAGGGCATCCAGGTATTTAACGATTTTTGGCACCAATTATGGCGCCGGAGTGTCGAGAAAAACACAAGCGCGCTGTGCTGTCGTATGGATTCAAAGTTTCTATGAGCATTGTGGTGTCAATCATTTTAGGCAAAGTGGCTACTGTTGTGTCAGTACAGCCTGTACAGATACTGTAGTTTTGCAGACATCCTGTACTGACCTGTATTAATTATCCACTTTCGTTGGGCTCTTTACATATGTAAATTCAATTAACTATTTTAAACGTAATAGCAGATTAGATTGAAATACAGTACAGTTATAAAAATGTTTTCATATAATAGGCTTACGTAAACAACAGCAACTAAGCCGTTGAGCAGTGACTAGGGTAATTTTTTTTGTATTCGCACTGGAAAAAGAATTGCACAGAAATGTATCGAACTTTTTTAACAGTTGTAAAATGTTTTTACAAATGGAGTCGTGAAAATTTAATTAGATGCTGAAAATAGGGGAAAATTTTGGAAATCGTAGAAAATAAGTTATTGCAGTCCCAGAAGCTATCTATGTCTTTGTATGGGGGATTCTACCGCTAAGTCAAATCATCTGCTTTAGCGAAAGTCTATGTGCTGAACTTGAACCGCTTACACTCATAGCACACTTAAATCTCGTGTACGTGCATTTAGCGGAAGCGTTTCTGCGTTTAAATACTAGTACAGAAACCACGGAAATATTGTGCGAACCGGCATTTTGGTGCATTTGTTATTGTCAAGTTAAGTAAGCGTTGTAATAAATTTAATTAAATCTGCTGTATCATCTACTATTACACATCATCTGGCATTAGTTAAAACTGTTGATTTAATAAATTCAGTTATGTCAACAATCTGTTCGTGCATGGTGCAGGCAGGTATAATACTGTTAAGTGAGACAATTAGATACAGGGCGCCTATATCAGAATCATGTGATCGTAGACTCGTATCAATAAAATAAAAAAGAATTTAATTATATTAATATTGTTTTCTGTTGTGGTATCTATCGGCTACCATGCACGGTAGCATTCCACAGAGAATTCAACACCATTTCCTGCCGCTTCAACATCTCCTTCATGCCTTCAATATCCTTGCGGGAATCGCGTGTCTGGTAGATCAGTAGTAAATAGGTCACGGCCAAACCAATGAACTGCCAAATAATCAATTTCCATTTGTATCAACCATAATTTAATATTTATTTCTCATAATTACATTATTGTTTTAGTGAATCACATTACACAAATACAGACATTATAAAAACCAGCCATACTTTGTTTAAGTTCTGTTTGTTTTTTAAACGTAGCTTTAATGTATATTTTACATCTACGCTGATTTATTATTAATTCAAAAATAAGCCTAGAATGGCAAAAATGTAGTACAAGGTAAATACAAATAAAGTCAAAACCTAATAAAAATAAAACTGTAAATATGTTTATAAAATTGTAATTACTATATATATATTTATTTTCACTGCAAATTGAGCTTGTCTTACGGCAATAATATATTCCTTGGTTAGGTCGAACAAGCCGCACACGGAGAGCGCCCCGTCACTAGTGCTGAGATGTACCGTAATGCGGTTGCATTCTATCAGAACTTTCTCATCGTCGCTCTCCGCCGCAATCCGGGTTAAGTACTTCCGTATGGATTGTGCCTAATAGGACAAATAATTAGTCCAGGCTCGCAACAGCAACTACCGCTCGGGTAAACAGCGGTCACGTGTGAAATGTTTCCCACCGTATTAGGGCTGCAATTACGCAGGCGTTGGGAAAATCAGGGGGCTAGGCATGAAAACGACATAGATTGAAATTGTCAAAATAATAACGCGTAACCTTGTCGCGCTTTTGTTGAACTACTGCAGGTTTTCAGTAAAAGAGAGCTTGTTACATGTAATTTTCGTGAATAATTATCTTGGTGTATTTATAGTTTTTGGACGGATTTTGAATATTTGCGGATGCGGCAAAGCGAATTCTATGCGCAAATTGCCTGTTGGTTATACGGATTTATGCAGAGAATTACACTGCGCTGGTATCCTGCTTATATATATTTATCGTAACGAATCAAGATTCAACCATTGAGAAAAATTATTTTCATTTCGTATTTCAGTATGCATGCATGTACTGCATATTATCTTGAACAAAATTTACAGAGGCCGAAGCTAGTAATTACAATGTATACGAGTATGCACGCATATGTCATCTGTAGCACAACCGAGTCTTCCGGGAGATAAATGTGTTAATTATCCTGGTTTAACTAAAATATAATTTGAAAAGGCTTGTATTAATCCAGTAATATTATTACTGGATTCTGTGTGCAGCAAGCACATTTTTGATACTGTTGCAGGCCACATAGAAATGTGTTTAATAATGATTAATTAAGATTCAGTTAGCGGAAACCTTCAAGCCGATTACGTTACCAACCTGATCGTACACAGCCAAGAAGACCACCATCCGCACGGCCATGTTACACAGCCCGATAGCCGTATACGTAAAGGTGACAATCTCCATATTCTTAATATACGTATGCGCTTGCGCGAACCGCTCCACTTCCTTCCACTCGCCCTTAGCAACCTGCAGCAACGTCCCGCTCAACGCCGCCCACGTAAACACATCCTTCAAGCACCCCACCAACACCACCGGCCCGAACACCCGCCCCAACTGCGTCACCACCCCGCTCAGTCCGCTGTACACGCGGAACAACTGCCGCAGCCGGTGCGCATCAACATCCACCTCGCCCCGCCCCCAGTCCGCAAGCCGGCGGTTCAGGCGTTGAAACCCCGCGTGAAAATAAACCATGAAGATCAGGAGTAAAGTTGGTGGGAGGAGCTCGCAGGTGACGGTTAAGAAGATGCCGAGAAGGTGCGTCGCGTAGTGAACCTCCGGGTCGACGGTTAGGGCGTTAAAGAAGTACGGGGAGCGGACGCCGGGTTCGTAGTAGTAGTTCGCCCGGGTCAGTGCGATCAGCCCCATCAGTTTCCCGATGACACAGACGCCAATGGAGATCACGGAGAACGTGATTAACCCGACTGTGTACCGGCGTAAGCGCGTGATATCGCGTTTTTTTAGTAACCGTCGCAGCGCCACCTGCGCCTCGGTCATAATCCCCGGGATGCGGCCGCTAATAAACAGCATACACGTCACCATGTACGGACCCTGTAACACCATCACCGATTTGAATTCGAACGCGATCAACGTGAAGAACTCGAGATCCACTAATAAAGACGAGACGCGTTTGAAGTAATCATACTCCTGCATAAGGAAAAATAAAATCAGCGCCACCCAGAAGACCGCCGTCCACACCAGCCAGCACACCCGCTGTACTCGGAACCGCGGGGAATTAATCCGCTGCGCGTTATGACAGAGGAAACACGTCGGATAGGGAAACAATCCAAAGACCCGCATCCAGCGCATAAAACTACGCGGAATGATGGTCTGCTGGGTGAAGATGGCGTCCGCGGTCTCGGCGGCAGACGGGTGGCGCAGGCGGTGGGTCTCCATCTTGACACGGCGGATGCAGTTGACAAGGACGGTGAGAATGGCACACTTATCGGTGAAATACGCTGCCATGATTAATCAAGAGGAAATATATGAGCAGTAAGCGAGAAATCCGGAGGGTTTATAATACGGGATACGGATGCCGGGGCTGTGTGTGTCGGGGATAATGAGTGGATCAGGGCGCTGGAGCGTGGGTAATCACGGGTAATTCGGGGTTGATTTAATTACGGCCGCGTCGATGGAGACTTCAGGATTGATGGCTGGTGTATTGTGTGTACGCTTGTACGGGTTGATGCACCTTATGTTGCTCAGGAAAAATGCCGGGCGCTGAATTATAAAGCGGTGAATCGCAATGACTGGCGAATAATTATATTTCGAAGCTTTCAGTATAAGGCTAATGGGTCCTTCCGGAAAATTAAACAAGTCGGCCAATTTTGCAAGGGATACTGCGCAGTACAGTTAAGGACAATAATGCGTTTCCGCCACATTTATTATAATTCAAAGCGCAGTCGAGTGATTGCGTGTTCAAACACAGCGCATGCATGTTTGAGTCGATGCGCCACATGTGACGAAAAAAACGGGTCTGTTCTGCGACCAAACTGGACGTCCACTTTTGGTGTGGCACTTGGCAGTCTGATGGAAAAGGATTAATGTGCCAAATTGTAACTGCCTCGGCAATGAGAAGCATAAGCAAATGACAATAAGTAACTAGATCGAACAAACCGTACAGAATAAGGATGTACGTGTACAAGGTATTTGTGGCGCTCCTTTTTTTACACAAATCAATAAATAAATGCACGACTTCAATATGGTAATAAAGGGTAGCGTAGGAGGTCAGCAGAGACACAGGAGTTTTCATAAAGAGTACGAACGTTAAACGAAATGTACTGGTGAATCGCTCCCGTCTGGAATAAAAGCGACAGAAAAAGATCCCGGCGCACTGGAAATGGGATACGTGGGCACTGTACAGCTTCTTGACGGGTGTAATCCTAGCACTGTGTAAAGTGGATCGAAGTGCGACAACAGTCTGGTGAAACTGATCCGACCGGCGACGAATCAACGCGGCGGGTTTTTTTTTGGCCGGAGCATTAAGATGGCTTTCCTAGGCGGTAGGGTGTGGTATGTTTATATAGCAGCGCTGTCTTGTTTACGGCAATCTTACAGCCACAAAAGCAAAGAGTGTATGACTGTCAGGGATAATGTTTCACGTGATCGTGAAGCGCATAAGTAGCGCCACAATAAAGGGATACCAGCCGGTGCGAGTATGTATCACATGCAACTAGATAATATGTTTGCCCTTGACTGGAATTACAACAGCTGTAGAAATGAGTTTACAAGGTTCTTACTTCTTTTACATCAGACTGCATTCAGTGTCAGGATAGCGTAGAGCGATTTCGAATTTTCGATTCTTGAGTGGCTGCATTGTGCCGGAACATGAGAAACTCCTTTAACGAATCTCTCATTTTGTGCAGTAGCAGAAATTCAGGAAAGTGTACTGGACGTCGCGTGCATTAGAGAGCAAAGCGTATCATTGCCAATTTCATTTTAAAGTTGTTCAACTCTACAAGCCCATGAATTCTCGTTAACAATGCAAAAATTATTGCGCTAGTAAGTAAGTTATATAAAATATTTTACTAGACGATCATTATTCACTTCTGTCTGTTCAATTTGGTTTTTTGTGTGTGGTGGACTGGTAGAGTATGGATACTAGTCTCACTGCTTTCAATACAATTTCCGCAGCCAGTGTTATTTTCTTAGGATCAGTACTGCGCCAAGAAACGATCCACTGAGCAGTAAATCTAATGTTTACAAGAAGCCCTTATTCTCTGACAAACAACGTTAAACCAGTGTAACCAGATCAGGTTCCACGCTCCACAGAAGCACCGAGGCGTTGTTGTCACATTGCAGCAACAGGTTTCCATGTTTTTACCCGGCTATTGTTGCATTTGCCGCGTTTTAGGACCTGATAAATAAAGGTTCTAAGCATTACTGACGGTAAACATCATCGTCTTTTGTCAGCATCTTAAATGCACGAAAATGCACCGCAAGCATCAACCGACGACGATGCCAGTATAAAAGACGCATCAAATGACATCAACTTGTTTGTTAGAAAAATGTGCAGTTGCCTTTCGGTATACAGTTTTCTTCCAGGAAGCGTTCACTCTGATGTCATTAATTTTCGTTGCCCCAAAAAAGAGGTTAAATGAAAAATTTTCGGTTGTAGCACCAAATGTTTCAACATTCTCAAGATTATCGTATCTTGCCACAGATTTCGTAATAGCTTCGTATTAATTTTTGGATTGGTGACGCCTGTTTGTTTGAATGTTTGTAAGCAACATGGATACAGCTAAGAAAACTTACCGGCTTCTGCTGGGTCTTCTTCTTATATCGCCCGTTATTTCTGCTGCTGCTATTTCTCGTAGCGATCCAGTTTCCAGTGACAGCACGAATCGTCTCGAGATCTGCACGCGAAGTAAGATGCTTGTGAAATGATAATAAAACACAGCTTAGACTCGTCCATTTAGGTTGCTGTTTTTCCACGATACAACGTCAGACATATGTAATAGTAGAATAATTTTTAATGCATGTTGAGCGGTTTCCTGTAAGAATTCAAACTGACGGTTTTATGTGAGCTGGATAGATTCCTGTTGCACGCTGTTTATTTATTTACTTCAGTTTTGAACTGGGAACTGGCTGGTCAGTTTTTAATGTTTTTCTAGATCCTTGGCTATGCAGCACGGAACAGAATGATAAAATCCGTTTCCCGGCGCCTGGTCCCTGCAATCCAAAGGTCCTCTTCTTTTGTCAGTGGGGTTAGTTAGAACGCAACGACAATCCGAATTGGGACGGACAGCACGATCGCACGGGCTATCGCATTCTTTACCGTTCTAAGCACTCGGAGTTCGTGTTTATAACTGTTTTTAGTGTCGAAATTTTCGATAGATATAATTGATGTGTTTTTTGTTGTTCCTCAGTATAAAAAAGGGCGTGTGACGGTTTCTGGCACTAAAAAAAAGAGTAGTCGTGGATACTGGGTTAAGGGAATTCATTCATTTAAATTCACACAATCGTCTTTGATTCTCGTATAGGATACATATTAAAAAGTACAAAATATAATAGAGTACCATTAGGAAAATACATAGCAAACAGTAAACTTTACACTGAGCAAATTCACTTCGAAAAATGTACAGCGATTAAGGTTACAATAATACGAGGATGTAAGCAGCCGAAACTAGGAAAGACATCGTACACATTGTCGGTTGTCCTATGCACAGCCACGTCATATCCAGTGTTCCCTTATAAAACACAAATTCACTGATAATCCATAATAATCAAGTAACATAAGCGGCTTCGATTAAATTCATTATGCATATTTCCCTGTTTTGCCACGGCCGCTCTGGGATTTAAATTCCATAAACTCCAAGTACTTCTTGGCCGTCTCCCGTGCCTCTTCTCCGTCGGGAATCAAGGCATCAGCGGCGATCCACTGGGAGAATGCCCGATAGTACCTGCATGGCACACCCACGTTACGGTATCGTTTGTAAGAGAAAATTACCAGAGTTCCGATCTTCAACAAAATAATAATGAAGGTGTATCTGATTTACAACTTACCGGTATGGTTCGCCTTTCGCTAGCTTGGGATACACAAAGCGCAGCCGGTACAGAAAGGCGGCATCGTTCGGTTCCGCCTGCGTGTTCGGTTTGATGTTAAAAACTTTTCCGACAAAATAGTATGGTTTCCGAAGGTTCTGTTTATCGCGCAGATGGACGAGATCGCCTAAAAGAAAAGCGTATTCGTGCATCTCAGAACAAAATCAGCAGTTGGCAATCCTCTGCATTTGCTTTGCGATATTAGCAGTTCTCGCTCAAATGTACTACAGATGCGTGCAAAGAATTACAGATATATGCAAAAGAATATATATGCAAAGAATATATAAAAACAAAACAGCATAATAATAGTTCCTTACCAATTTTGAACTTAGGTGCCATTTTAACTCCCACCGCGGCATTGGATGTAGTCCGCCGTGAAGGTTCATGGCCGACTGACCGTGAACCTCGGCGGACCCTCGGAATTGGTGACTGTGCTGTTTTGGATGCTTCAACAACACACACGGCTTGTGAAACGGTATTGTATGCGCCCGTTGAAAATCCAACATGTTGCTCGTTGGCATCGTAATTGTTCCCCGCTTGGAGGACGTTGGGATCTAGAATAAACGATATGGCGGCTCTTTCGGGGGATGTGATGGTATCGGCGGATGGATCAACGGTAACGGTCAAGCAGAAGGACAATCTTGTGGACGCCACCTGGTTCGTCACGGAGTTTGCAGTTGTCAGGGCTTCGGCTATCGGTGATTGTGGTTTTTCTTCTGCAGTAGGTAACTCGTTGGGATCCTCGTCGATCGCCGAATAAAATGTGGCATCAGTATCGCTATCGTCCGAAATAGAGTCAAAGTAAAAAGCCGACAAATCCTCCATAACGTTATTGACGCTGGCAACCGCGACGAACTTTCAATAATAAAACAAATAACTTCAGCAGCGTTCCAAACTGACACAACCAAATTGTACGGCGTCGCTAATCTCCCTCCTCCTAAAATGTAGTACAATAAATATCGAAATTCGGGTAAACTCTGTGGAGCTGGATTTGCTCCTCCTTTGGAAATGTAGCACGTTAAATATCAAATTGAGTAAACACTGTGGAGCTGGATTTGCTTAGCGTACCGTTACGTGGCTTCTTTCCGCAACGTGACAAAGCTAACTCACTGGCACGAAATACTGCGGCACTGTTTTGCAGTGACAATGTAGGCAGTTGCACTGCAGGCAATCATGTGCAAATGTACGCTGCAGAGGATTCTTGGGAAAGCGCAATACACATCCGGCTTTTAATGAAAAAGCCTTTTATTTGCTGGTCAGTGTTTTGTGTTAAATTTTGAACTAAAAGGCACAGTAAATCTAAATGTTTAGGGTCATTGAATGGTGACATAACGTATAACTTTCGAAGTTTAGTGTATCCTGCTGGCGAAATGACCAACACATGGAAGTTGGAAAGTCTTAGGTATGTGAGCGGAGAAGCGGCTCACGGACAGCGATAAAGTCTTTCAAAGGATTTCAACGCTGCGCCGTGGTGTAGTGGTACTGCCTACGCGGATCTAACGACGTAGGCGGGGTTCGATTCCCCCATCGGCGCCTTTTTCAGCCGTTTCTCGGTTTCCCTCGGATTGCGCCCAGCTTAGAGGTATATGCGAATAATGTTTATTTCTTACTGATCCATAAGGAAAACCACATTACAAATTTACAATTAGAAGTGTATAAACTACACAGCACAGAAAGTATTTCTTCCAACTTCTCAAACATGTTGAAGGTCAGATTGCACTGATATTACTTTTGGTTAGTGAAGTACTGGCTAGTGTTAGTCTCTTTTAAGTTGTTCAAGTACCTGGTATTATTCTACCAACAATAAGCACGATAAACCAGTTATTGTGACCAATTTGAAGATAAAATTGCGGTATTAGTATTGTTGCGGACCTACGGAGAGAGGAGCAACTGCTCTAAGAATGAAAGGTAACGTCGATGGTAGCCACATATTTCGCGCGGGCTCTCTGGTATCCGCCGCTCTTCATGATGTTTTTAACTTCTTCCATGGTTTTCACCTCAAAGATCTTGAACAGGATTTCATCATCGAGCTTCGGTATCTCGTTCCACACAATGGCCTTGCCGCATCCCACTCCCCTGGCAGAAGGTGTGGCGCTAACCGGTGCGGACTTAGCCACCGGATTCTTCGTATGGACCAGCTCGCCGTTCACCCATTTCAACACGTACCGGAACAAGGCACGGGACCGCATGTCAAACAGCGTACTCACGCGATTCCCGCAGGTGGTGGCCCCATCACAGCCTTCCGTCTTCCACCACACCAGCCCACAATGCGGGCACGCCTTGATCAGATTCCGTGGATCCGTGGTATCGAACAGATTGTACGTCATCAGCGGGGTGACGGAGTTGACGAAGCGGTCGCAGTTCTTCACATTCTCCCGCTGCATTTCAATACACAAGGCGTAGTGCTCCAGCTCCACCATGTCATTACCGTGCTTACTGATAAATTTCTGGTATAAATCATCGAGATCGTACTTGAACTGGACAATCATGGCGTGGAACAGCTCGTCCTTGTCTTCATCGGAAGCGCTTCGGGTGCGCTCGCGGAGTTTAGCGTAGCCGGCAAACAGCGTTTGCACCTGGGTTTTGTACTGATCAAAGGATTTCCTCATACTCAGTCGTACCGCGTACAGGTTGAAATTGAAATGGAATTCTTCATCCGTGATCCGCAAGCGCTGCGGTTCCATGTGCGACATACAAGCGTACATTAGATCCGCAATCGCCCCGGCATCGCTCATCTCCGAGAAGAAGATAACGTTCGCAATATGCGGACTGGCTTCCGTCAGCAGTGTACAGATCTCCGGAAACTCTCCCTGTGGATTTTTCGCCTCGTCCATGTGGGAAATCAGAATGACGATCTTACTGGTGAAATTACCCACCGGCTGCTCGACCTGCAGATAATTATCCACCATCTTAATGTAGCGGTTCTCGTACTTCAGGACGATGAAGATGGTATTCAGGTCCGTGGCGGTCAGACCGGCGCGCAGCAGTACGGCATGTTTGTACGTATCGGTCTGGCTATCCGTACCGGGTGTGTCGATGAGAGAGAACGCGTTCTGACCGACGCTGGCGTCGTTCTTCGATAGCTGCTGCGTGACGCTTCCTGCGGATGCACCGGCAATGTGTTTGGTGTTGCACAGTTGGTTGGCCAAGGTTGTCTTTCCCGCTCCCGTTTGACCGATGAGGACGCAGCATGGGCGGTTGCTGTGGCGGCTGGCGCGTGCAGTCAGACTATTTTTAATCAGAGGTCGAAACATTTTCCCGTCTGATAATTCTGCAGTTCGATGACACTGTGAAATTAAATTATGCAATGGAAAGCAGAACCGGTAAACTGTTTTCCCAAAATCTCACCACTCTTTAAAAATGTCGAAAATGGCAATGACAAATGCAGTTAATTTCCAGCACGGAAAAAGCTTTCTTACTGCATAATTTTTGATATCGCGAAATCACTTTACTAGCCCATTCTATTGATCAAGACCTGCTCTTAATGTCAAGTAGGCCTTTCGTAACGTACTTCCGTCAGCCAGCAAGATAGCTGATTAATTAGGGAAGGGTGGGCCAAACCGGACGGGGTTGGGTTTGGAAAAGGTTGAACTTAAGTTTACTAATGTTATTAAGTGCCTGACAACTGTTAAGTCTGACATCAGATTGAACGTCGTGTTAGTCATTGCTTTGACGAGATCTTATGATTGTCATGCGCTTGTTTATGACAAACCAATGGATGCTTGCAAAGCCTTCGCTTGGTCAGTCCCTACTCACAGTAATGCAATACGCTGCCACATTATTATAATGCTTTAATGGTTTGCCACTAAACTTGCGATGTTTGTGTATTAATTCAGTTCAACGGATTTCATTCTGAGCACTTCGTCAAAGAAAGAAAAGGGTGCGATAAAAAAAATTTCTATAGACTGATGCGACAATTTCCGGCAGTGTTTATTGCATTGCTGACAGTGTTTTATGCTTCATGCGGCTATATGTTAGCGATACATTACCCTTCCCGATTATCTGTGCTTTAATAAGTACATGTTAGTTATCAAGTACTGTGCGACCAATCTGCGACCGCTTTATTGAATATTTTTTAAAATTCATAAATGATAACAAATTTGTTGCCCGAAGTTTTTTTAAGTTCGTAATACCGTGTTACATACCTTGCTTACTGGTGCATACACAGTAGACTGCATGTTAACGTTTGTTTGTTTATTTTATAACATTTTATTTTGTAATCAAATTGGTAATTTTTCCTCGAGTGAATGGACGCTGTTACAGATACTGTATTCCAGTACGTAAAACGTTACAGCTCGTTACACACGCGCTGGTCGTCGCACTTTGCACTGCGCTAGCATAATCATGCGATTACCATCGGAACCGGCTGACACAATGCTGTTCACATTGCCGCTTATACTGATTTCATGGAGCGGGTAATTACCATGAACACTGTTCTGCCATCCCGCCACCATGCTGTCCGATGGAACGCTGTCATCCCGTATCAGCGTAAACCGCGGCATCATCATCATTCTTTGCTGCACTGTTTCATTACTTACCGTTTTTTCTAACTTCACCGGATCTCCTGACAACCATGTCCGCTGTCCGCCGTTGTTGGTTTCGTTAGATGCGAACGGTGCCTTCGTGTGTAACGCTAGCGGTTATTATGACGCGCTGACGCAACGCCCCCTCCGGCTGCTTATTTTCTATGATAAGAATGACGTTATGAACCTGCCGCTGTGTGATGTCAAACCGGCTACGCTGATTGGTCGGCGAAATGTCTCGTTGGAAGCGCACTCGGAAGAGGATATCGCGGCCGACAATCCAAAAGTGCTACGGGGAGGACGCTATCGACCCAGCGGGTGTGTACCGCGTCAGCGGTTGCGAGTGGCGGTGATCGTGGCTTATCGGGATCGCCAGGAACATCTGCGTAAGTTTTTCGAATTTTTTTATTCGGTATATTTTATTACCCAGCACTGTTAGCTTAATATTTATTTGTTATGAGCGTCTATCTTTCTGTAGAAATCCTGCTAAATAATTTACATCCATTTCTACAACGGCAACAACTGGATTACACTGTATTTCTTGTGGAGCAGGCCGGGAACGCCACGTTTAATCGAGGTGTTTTTTTTTTTTTTTCTTTAATCCGAGCACAGAAATTTTTGTGTGCTGGCTCCTAATAAAACGCCATATTGATGAGTAACATGTTTGTTCTGTTTTTCCCAAAGGTAAGCTCTTCAACGTGGGTTTCGTCGAGGCAAACAAGCTGCGAGAATATCCATGCTTCGTCTTTCACGATGTTGATCTCTTACCGGAGAACGACGCCAACGCCTATTCCTGTCCGCAATACCCGACACTGCTCTCCAGCGCTATGGAAAAGAATAAATACCGGCCTATCTACGCCGATTATTTTGGCGGGGTGGTATCCTTTAGCAGTCGGCATTTTCGACAGGTCAACGGTTTCCCCAATTTATACTGGGGCTGGGGTACGTTGTGCCGTATTACGTAAAAGCGTCTTAAAATTGAAGTTCAAAATGTTTTGGCTTAGGTGGTGAAGACGATGATCTGAGCCTTCGCGTACGCACTCGCCTTGGGAAACTGTTGCAGGAACCGGCGGATACCGGACAGTACACCATGCTCAAGCACGAAAAGGATGCCGGTAACCCGGTTAATCCGCAGCGCTTTAAACTGCTGAATGCCGCTGCAAAACGTTTCGAAACGGATGGCCTGTCTAGTTTGTCGTATAGTGTTGTGAAACTCGAGCGGAAGCCGTTGTACACGTGGATTCTGGTGGACATTGGACAGCCCGGCTAGATGAGACATTGTGCATGATCTATTGTGTTTTTTGTCAACATCATGGTATAACGGCATGTGCATATATGCACATGCCGTTACACCGTTATACTATCCCACCTCAGTCCTGCACACGGTTATACATGGTTATATGGTTACATGGTTATATATACGTATATAACCGTGTATAACCGTGTACAGGACTGAGAAGGGATAATACACTGCAGCTGATCTGAAAGCTTCCATCCAGAATGGCATATGTACCAGGATTACCTAATTTCGTACTACCCTTCTTTGTAAATAATGTTTATAATATCTAACCGTTTTCATGTACTTTTTGAATATTTTATTACCCGTTCTGTGTTTTGACGTTTCTTTGTAGGAATTTCTATATTACTGTTAAAAATTTAGTAAAACTTTTGAGGCGATTGCTGCTCGCATTTTGAAAGTGTCGAAGATGCTACAAAGTTGTAAAAATACTATAAAGCGCGGTGTTGATCGACAACGTCACCGTTTGTTAGTCTCCTGATCAGATTGCCGTGAGTGTGCAGGATTTCTTTAACTTCTTCCATATCCTTTCGTGAGTCGCGCGTCTGATAGATGAAGACAAAATAGGTGATGGCCAGACCACCAAACTGCAAAACATACCTCGATAAAGAAATGCAAATATCAACAAAATGATTCTACAACCTGCGTAGTAATGAATGTTGGAAATTAGAAGAAGACGTAATACGAATGGCAATGTCTACCAAGTACATACAGTACTATAGTTTAAAATAGTGTACTTACTATAATATGTACTTACTACAGCTGGAGTACGTTCTTGTGTCTATACTTACCGCCACCACGTAATCTTTGGTAAGAACGAACAATCCGCACACCGAGAAAGCTCCATCGCTGACCTTCAGATATGCAGATATTTTCTGGCATTCTGTGGATACACTGTCATCGGTGCTGGTTAATGCCACGCACTGCAGTGCATTTCGGACTTTCTGCGCCTAAAATTAATGTTTTGTTAATTATGCGATATTAAAATTTTTAGTCGCCCAACTGCAAATTTATCGACAATTTACAGTAATTTACAGTAATTTACAGTAACAATCCGACAAACAACCATTCGGAGCGCTCTGTGGGCAGTGGTTTTGAACAGGAAGGCCCATGCTTGAAAGCTAACTGTTGGATAAAGCAATTCACCTACTCAAGAACGTACACATTATTCACCTACTCAAGAACGAACTATTCTCTACCTATTATTTTTGAACTATTCTTCCGTAAAACAGCATACGAAGACGCAGAAACGGTACAGTAAAATGATATCGAAATAAAACACTTAAACAAAATAAATCAAAATAAAATAAACGAAATAAAATAAACGAAATAAAATAACACTTATCGAAATAAAATAAACGTCAGACGCTCGTATTCAAGTAGAAGCATTGTAAAGAAGCTAATAAAGCAGAAAATTCTGTTGAGCATGGAGAAATTCTTCAGTAATCACAACTGCACCTAACTCATGATCATATCGAAAAAGCGTTTCTAATGCGAAATGACCGGAGGATTAAAGTTTATTGTGGTTTTTTTGAAAAAGGCACTATGTACGAGTTACCGAGCAGTATGTCTATGGTGCTTTGTACCTTATTATGTACGGAGCAGAAGATGAGTATCCGCAAAAGCCCATTAACCATCGCTCCTATCGCCACAACCATAACAATCACCTCCAGATTGCGCCCATGACCCGGTCCATTCCCAGCGGCCCTCACCGTTAAATTTCCTGCGCTGAGGGAGTAATTCCGTTTCTCCACCTGCAGCAGCGTCCCACTCAGCGCCGCCCACGTCATCATATCGCGAAAGCACACCATCAGCAGAAGCGGCCCGAACAGGCGCCCGGCGATCTCCACCAATTTCACCGTGGTCGCGTACGTCCGAAACGTCTCCTTGAGACTGTCAGCCGTGACCTTTTCGACCTCCGCTAACCGCTGCGCCAGTTGATCGAACACGGCGCCGTAGTGCAGTGATAAGATCATTAAGAGAACCGAGGGAAAATATTCTCCAGAGCTGTTCATTAGCGCCCCGAAAGCATATACGCCCACGTGGAGAAAGCGTGGTAGGTGGAAGAAATTCATGAAATACCCGAGTTTTGTGTGCCAGTCCGTGGATTGGGTTTCGGCTATCGCGGCAGTACGGATACTCTTGGTAATGATGCCGGTTACCACGGATAACAGCGTCCACAGAATGACCGCGATGGAGAAGCGGCGTAATCGCGATAAATGTTGTTTTGATAGGTGCACCTTCAACCAGGACGAAATTCAAGCGATTTTGGTTGCTTTCGGAACTAACTTAAAAACTATAAAATCAAGCGTGGAATCTAAAGAATGGCTATAAAGTTCTCCTTCATCCGTTTTTGGTTTTTAATACAAAAATTTAAATAATCAGAAAATTGCAAAACTTATATCAAGTTTAAATAAAATTTAATGTTTTCAACTGCATTTGGTAAGAATTTAGTTTTTTTCATTTCTCGCGCTTGCAATAAAATTGTAGCTCTTTCAAAAAATTTTTTTATTTTAAATCTGATAGCATACAAGGATTCCACCGCATTGATAAAATTATGTAAACTTAAAACATTAATTATAAAATGCGTGAATGTGCGGTTTCAACGCTTTACCTTCATAAAAGCATCGGAACGACGAATCAGCGCAGTGAGGCGGCAGTTAACCAGCAGCATGGCGACAATAGCGAAACCGGCTTGCGACATAATCACCAGGCGATAGGCGAAGGCGATCAGGGTGAAGAATTCCAGATCGTGTAAGGGATCGGCGAATTTCCGGCAGTACTGGACAATTTGCAGTATTGTTATAGCCGTCAAACCGGTGCCGAGGAGTATCGACCAGATATGCCATTTGTAGCGGATTACCAAACGTTTTACACAATGGTCAGCATCGTGCTGCGTTTTCCTCGGAAATAAGCCGAAAACGCGGAGAAAATGCAGGAATAATTCGGGAATAATTGGATAATCGCATTCTGTAAGGGAATGTTTATCCAGCAGTTTTCTTACTATCTCCATCATGTATTCCCGCAAAAGGTTGTTCGTTCAAACGGATGGAATGAGAGACGCAAAATTTATGTTGCGATTGTGACTGCTTTCCTCAGACGGGAAATGCTGCGATCTGTTTGGATTAGGTTATTTTCGTCTGGTGGGATCAGCCGATTTTAAACCACCACAATTCTACACCGGGAGCAACCAACAAAGGAGCTGTTCATCCTTCACGCGACGCCAGATAACTTGTCAATATCTGCATGTGCTTAGATCAGCAGTTTAAACCGTTGGAGGAGTTCTTAATGGGTACTTGATGGCTTGCTGGTTATTTCCGGTTAATAAGCTATCTCATTGCTTATTACGAGTACATCCTGTTGTCACAGTTCGCATACAGAGTAGACGCCGTAAAAATTTCGTGATGTGTTACAAATGCATTTTTCAGCTATTATGCAAAAATTCAAAAGTTCAAACAATTAAATTTAGCGCATCTACGCAGTTCGGTCCACACTGAGATTCGGTAGAATTATTGTATGAGTAAATTGTACATTTAAGGATGTGACAGTGTTACATTGACTATCACAGTGAGTATCATTTCCTGTATACAAGGACTTTGTAAAGATATTAGCATTTTCACTTTGTATACGCATCAATCTTTTTCATTATGCAATCCGATTACACAATTAGAATCAGCGAATTATTCGGATTTAGAAGCCACCTAATTCGTTTAGAAGTCATCAGTTTTCTGATTAATTCAGATTCATTAAAATAAAAAAAGGCTGATGCGTAAAATGAAATTGCTAATGTCCTCACGAAGTCCATGACTGTATAGAACGACAACTATAGCCAAAATGGCCCACTCTGTCCGTGTGAGTCGTGTTCTTGCCGGCATTAAATTAAGTACAAGAATGGTATTGACCCGTAACAGCCCAAGTGGCCGCGGGACAATTCGTCGTGAGACATTTTCGTCATGCACTTTTAGTCGCAACGGCTGATTTGGCTTGGGACAGCTCGCTTTGCAGCCGTTTTGTTGGGTGACATTTGGTTGCGCGACGGTCTGCAGAGTCGAAGAATTATGGACTGATTCATGGCAACGACCAGGCAGAATATTTGCCACAAAAGCGAAGTGTCCTTATATCTTTTAAGGTAAGCTCACCGAGAGACCGAGTACGGGATCTCTTCGAGGTTAACCTGTGTTTCGAAAACTCGAGGTTCATTCGTACCCTTGAGTACCGTATCTTCATGGATATAATGCAAGGAATTGGTGAACCAGCAAATAAGCAATGAAGCGCAGAGTGAAAACGCTACTCTAGTACCGTACATATCTACAAGCCGGTCCGGAGATAACGCACGATAGAAAACAATGAACAATGTAAATTTATGGGTTACGCCAAACACAATACTACGGCGCGCCACGCTGTTTTCCCACGTAACCTGCATTTGGCTGGCTGGTGGCTTGGTGCACGCCATATAGATAAATGAGTACAATTGTAAGTTTGCAACTGCCTGACGGGAGGCGGCTAGAAACGGTCGGTGCTTCAAAGGACAACCTAACTGCGGGGGCGCATTTACGCATTTAGGCGCATTTAGTTGTACGTACCTTTCCGTGCTCGGCTTGTACATGCATTGGTATCCACCGGAGTATTTTTCGGGCGGTTACATTTTTTTGGAATGTTATTTTATCAAGCCAAGCTAATAAGCTAATATATTTTAAACGTATGCACAAAACTGCCTCCAGGGACTCCGTGATCTCTAATCCTTGACCACCTAATCGACGAAAGTAGCGTACGTGATGGAACTGCCCCGTCGGCCTTAAATCCAGCATTCGGAGCGCGCAGAATTTCTGTGCTAAGCGCGTGCATCCTGCGGTACAAGCCTGGCTCGGCACGAGATTTACGGGATGGGCATACGATGCACTACGATCACACTACTGATTGCGCAGCACGCCATCGCCAAGAGCATTAAACAAGCCATGTCCCGAATGTTGACACGAGCGATGAAACAATCCGATTTCTGAACCATAATTTAATCATGCAGAGATTTTCTTAACGATGATCGAGCATGTTTCTCGTACGTCGCAATAAAGCGGCAGTGTTGGATAAATATTTATACTGTCATCTTTTACTGAGAAAAATGTAATCATTGACAACAATTTGAAATGTTTTCGTCGGCACGCAGTTAGAGCGCTACACATAAATTCGCAAGAAGACGCATCAGTTGTCCAAAAATATGGAAGATTCAAATAATTGAAGTGAACAACATATAAATATTGGCAACATGGGAACTAACGTACAAAAGAAATTTATCTGTAATTATTAATCGACCTCTTTGAGTTGTGACTGCGTCAGAGTAAAGCGACGTTGAACACCATCTGCCGTCGCATGTCCGATATCACCGGTGCAGTACGAGTGAATCCTGGATAATACCATCCGGCAGCGATTTTTGTAATCCGCGTTGATGCTCAGACAAACAACCTATATAAAAAAAGTTATAAAGTAAAAACATAAATTACACCAAAAAAAATCTTGACATTGTATGACGCAGTGAAATACTGTTAATATAAAAATTAATACTACGATAATCGATATATATAAAATACATACCGGTAAATACATAAAATATAAATTTAAATATAAAATACTATCGAATATATTAATTACAGTATATAAAATGCTATTGAAATTGCATAAATTGTTTTCATAACATTCTGATATATTTTCTTAATTTTTTTCTTATTTTTCTATTTCTGCTTATGGTGTGCAAGGACACTATAAATATAATGGGTGATTTTCTTGCGCATTCCGGAAAACTTATGCGTTATGCTGCGCAGTACAAATGCGGATCTATTGATTTTTTTAAATATATCAATATCACCGTTAATTCCGGCAACACTTCAGCACGCCTGCAAACATCAACACCGTATTCTATTACTCACCGGAATCGTCGCATACCCGAACAACAGCAGCGCGCGTAAAAACAACGCCAACACCGGCTGCGACGTGTACGCCCCGGCGAACACCCCCGCGGCAATGGGCGCCGGCATCAGACAGCACGTATACCACACATACGACACGAAGAGCATCCGCACACTCCGCCACCGGCGCCGGAACACCACCCGCTTCCGCACCTCCTTCACGGCCTCCGCGGCCACCACCTGCCGCTGCCGGCGGACAATCTCCACGCCCACATGTAAAAAAATCAGCAGGTAGACGCCGCCCAGGGCGGTAATGGGCACCGTCGCGGCCAGATGGGTGATAACGGTGTAGGTGACCGTCTCCGGGGCGGGCGCCACCCCGCACGTCCCCCACGGCGGGGTCGACTGGAAAACGGCGCCCTGGCGAAAGTAGACGAGCAAGGCGAGGGTGAAACCGATCATCCAGGGGAACAGGACCATGGAAAAGGTCACCGGCTTCGTGGTTAGGTGAGGATAGTGATGCGGGAAGATTATAGCGATTAGGCGATTAATCCCGATTAAAAGCGACGTGTAGTTAACGGAATCCAGGGAAGCGTAGTACCATAATAAAGTGTGTTGGCAGAATGTATCGGAGAGTGGATTAACCGGTGCGTAAAAATACGTGGAGACGGATAAGATCAACATATGTACGGAGCATAATACCGCGTTGGTCAATAACAGATGCGCGATTAAGTAACCCGATCCCGAGCGCAGTTTCTGGCTGGTTATGATAATCAGGAATAAACATGTGTTGAAAAATCCACCGAGGATGCAGAAGATGAGCATGATGGTGAACCAGGCGGTTAGTTCGTTGGAGTAGGTTCTCCACGCCGGAAGGGAATTGTTGACGGTGGCGTTCATGGTGGAAATGTGAAGATGCCGGGATGAGGATTGTGTTTGTGTTGGGATAATGCGCGGAGGCGGCGAACGGATGCCGGTAGATGTGTTCCTTGGGTAATTGCGTATGCACACCTGGTCACGGCATGTTTGCGGTGTGTTTGTGATTGCGAATGAGGGATGCGCTGTGCGGTTGAGGGAGAGGGATGACACATACGTCGGCATATCGATAAATTATAGCGGAACGACGCGGTATCACGGGATGTACTGCCGGTTGTCGATATTGTTGGTGTTGCCGGTATTAACTACGTAATTGGCAAAGACGGTAACTAGCCGGCGTGGATCACGTGAATGTTAATTCTTCAAATGAAGGACCATAATATATAACTAATATTGTAAAGCAAATTTTCGTTTGACATTTATCGGAAGCAGAAAACAGGAAATCGTTTCAAAATTTGCGATTTGGATAATTTAAATATACAAAAATATATTCTGTAAATAGGTACTGCAGTACGTAACATCTTGGTAGCTCTGTACATTTTTTTAGATTTGCCTCAAAACGCAGAATGTGTGTAGCGTAGCCGCCGTAGCATTTATAAACGATTTACAGAGTTGTGTTTATTTGCAGTTTGCATGTCAATTTAGAAAATATTGCAAAGATCGATTAAATCTGTAATGTCTGCGAATATTGTAGGAAACATATCGCTATTTCTTGATCATAAGACTTCTACTATATACAGGGTATGCGGAATCTGGCCAAGGCGAGTACAACAAACCTAATACGTTACGCGGTGCTTGATCGTCAGTAAATCTTTTTAACGACTTGTAATTGATGAACAACATCCATAGGCAGTGCAACACACAACCATTGATATCGAATATTCCGCAACTGTTTTCGCCGACATTAACAAATTTAAAGCCAAAACAACATCTTGAGGTACCTAGCTAAGAAACAAATCACAGGAATTTGTAACCATGTGCATGATAACTACGTAACAGAAACAGCATTCGCATAAAAATTACGCCGACGCCGCACACGAATATCGTATGAGCAAATACGCCGACCGGCATTCGGGCTTGACGGCAGGATCCGCCGCTTTTAAGATACATCCCGGTTTGTTGTTGCAGAATTTGGCCATATCGTTGGCGCGCTGCGCCTGCTGCGACACATCGTCAAAACACACCGGGTCGATGCTCAACTGCTGGAATTGGCGGGCGCGGGCGAATTTTATATCGGAGATCGACACCACCGGCAGCCGTTCGTCCTCAATACAGCGGAGGATGGCCGTGTCGCCTTCTTTTAGCGCCATGCGGTAACGCTGAATGATGGGCGTGTCGTCCATCACCGCCACATCGCTGGCGGATGCCCGATGGAGTAAGGCTAGTGAACACTACAGGAAAATCTTTGTCACACGGATTGTTGAGCTTATGTGCAAGATGAGCAAATAAGAAAATAAGCAGATGATATAATGCAAGAAACTTTAACAGTAATAAATAAATGGATAATAAATAAGTGCATGCGATGATATTAAAAAAGATGCTTCAATAATGAACAGTAATAATGATAAAAATTAAGAAAAAAATAAAACTATTTTGACTACATAATAATATTGTTATGGTATGTAGGTATTTTGATTTCGTGCAAGTTGCAGCTCATTGTAAAATTATGAGGATTATTGTAATCCGTTACACAATCTAGTATTGAACACCATTTTTTATGTGAATGCATTTTAACCGAAATCTTTTATCAATTGCTAATCGCTGAGTTTCTTTACAAGACAAGAACTAAGAAAATCAATACGCGTATTAAAGTTAATAAAAACGCAGGGTGAATAATAAACGGTTAAGTAACTGCACCTCGTTGTGACGATGGTAAAAAATTTTTTTTGCCAACAATTATAACGATATCAATCGAATTTCATAAAAAATATTACAAAATTTTAATAAAATTGTTAACTGTTAACACAATTTCGTCAACAGTAAACATATTTTATTTATTCAACGCATTGTACTACTCTGTACGGTATATTACTGCCGTAACTCGTAATCGAATAATTTATAAATGTTGCGAAGAGTTTGCACAAATTTCCAGAAACCTAGGGAACTGTTCGAAGCATTCTAACGGAAAACGTTTTTAAATAATTTATTTGCGAAAGCAAGAAGCAGGAAGTAAGGTATTCCGGTAACTTTTTCTGCCGCTTTCCCACATTTCACATCGGTTTCGCACTTACAAGAAACTGTGACACTATGAAAAAAAAGTGAATTATATTTACTTCTACAAAGTAAAACGTTTTCTATAAACCTAGATGATAAATTTAGCCCTGGATCGGTTAAACCGGATAAAGCCAATGCACTACGGTTTTTAGTATCTTCAACTTTTGCTGTAACGATCTGAAGACTGGCATTAACAGTTCGGAGGTTCAAATAGTTTGCTAAATGATTAAATTGGAATTTCTCAATTAAAAGTATGATAAATATATGCTTTAAGAAAGTTAAATGTTTATTTTCTTGTGCACGTGGTCTGCTCCACCGCTACAAATACCCTAACACTCACCAAGATGGTAAAGCGGATCCGGTAAATCATTATAGATATTCCCATCGTGTAGAATATTACGTACATCCGTGAGAAACAACACAATTACCGCAAATTAAGAATGAATCGGTAATCTAATTAGAACGTGCGTGCACGGTAGGCGACAAGAACGGCACATTGACGGCCAACATTGTAGCGTGCATTACATGTGTGGTGGTGATTCCGGGTTCAATAGTCGGCGATGCTTGTGCTGTCCGGCCGAAAGGCATACTGACCGGCATGCTTTGTGCTTGGCACAGATGTGTACCTGTATTATTTTATACGTGCAGTATGAGTACTTGTACAGTGGCGATTACTTTCGCATACAACAAAAAGCGCGCATTAACGGAAAACGTATTAGTAATAATTTGCCATGGAAGTATATGTATTTGTACGTGTTTCGATGGCGCTCACATTAATTTTAGAAATCGGATTTCTAAATGGCAGTATTACCCAATCAATAATAAAGATATGAATCATAGTAATAACGGTACATCTATTTAGACGTTAACTCATATGGGAAACGTATGGATCACAATCACCCTTAAATCAGTGTTTTTCTGTCTCGAAGAAGACAAAATTTGTCCTGGAAGTATTTTGTCGTAATCCGACATAACATAATCAATTTTGTCGGTAGAAACTGTGCCCTCACCGCCCCCCCCCCAATCGTTTATGAGAATAACTACGGCTGTTTTCTAAATATTATATTATATTTGTAGTACGATATTAGTGACTTTAATGAGCTTGTGCGGATTCTTTTGTAGAGGCGCTTTTCTTTATTATCAGGGCGATTGAGATGGTGTATGTAAACTGTGTACGTATACATGTACGTATAATGACACCGGCATCGAACAATTAATTAATCCCAGTTTGGGAAAAACTATATTCATCCTTTCCTGGAAAAATAATTTTTGCTCACTGTATTCTGCGGATTCTGTTTTGTGCGTGGATAGTTAGTAACTTGGTACAAACCTTCCACTCCAATTTCGCTTGATTAGCATAAAAATTATACATGTGTGCTTCGATTGTGAAGCAATTAGAGATACATAACGGTGCAAAGCGCACAATAATTGTGCAACAATTGCAATCATTGCTTCCCAAAGCAAAGAAATAGGCATCAATTCGTCACAAAATGCGGCTGCACTGTTCAGACTATTTCAAAATCTTTGCCTAAAAGACGCAGTGGCACAGCCTGATGCTCCTGGTCGTTATCCCAATAAATTAAACAGCTCCATAATAATTATTTGTAAACGTAAAACCAAGGTTTAGTGGTGCAGTGCGGTACGAAGCTTGCGATCGACTGAAATATCAAGTTTTGAGTTTGCATCGCACTGACAACTTTTGCCGCGGGCAATGGAACTGTACATATGGCGCATTTAGCCGTTGCGACGAGACTCCGTGTGAAATCCTGATAAGAGACTTTTTTATACCAGTAATAGTGATACGCGTAGTATCACGCGTCCGTGCGCGTCTGCTGTGTGAGGTTGGCATTAAGTGTTTAACGTCTTCTGTTAATTAATCATATGATTAATGAACAGAAATAAGAAAAATAAAATAAACGAAATATTACAGTACTTTGGCGGTGTTCTTTATATACTGGTATACTGTTACTGTATACATATGTAAGTACACATACTATATAGAATATAGCGATATAGGTACATATATTTTTTCTATATATAGATAATAAGTATGTATATCGAGCTATATTTAGTTAATTTGTTTAACTTTACCGCTGATATACCAGGTATTTGGGCTTCTGATATAATTCAGTTTTGCATTTATCACAAGTTTATAAAGATGCAGTTGTTTTAAAGTTTAGCAGTAATTACTATAGGTAAAAAGCGGGCCGTTTCGGTTTTGTGCTTGCCATGATTAGAAATCGGTCTAATTTACAGATACAAGGCCATTAATTTTTTCAAGGAATTAACGTAATCAGTTAGTTTTTCATGGCGCGTGTGAAAAATTACACATGCCGACTTTCATTTACAGTGTCTTATACTCATTTTAACTGCTCCAAATATACAGAATTCCGTAAGTCATATCTCGATTATTGTACGTACTCTCTGTAATCTACGCAGACCTCTCTCCAGATTTGTGAAGGTGATTAATGTAATATTTATAAAGTGCTACCCATATAATATATACGTAATATTATATAGTATGCGTAAGTAATGCAGATGCATAATAATGCATACTGCGCCTTATGCATAATTACTGATTAGATTTCAATTAACCAATCATTAAGAACAAAAAACGAAGAAAAACCTAATCTTTTAAGATACACCAAGATTTATAGAGGTTTATCCGTGTGTACTACTTCAGAAGAGGTCTATCCATATTATTTACTATGGTTATAGTAATACAGTCGGAAGTCCCACAGCGCACTCTAAATTTTACCGTACGACGGTACGGACGTGCGCAAGCAAACGGGCACAATGGGTGACTGGAAAGTGCAGCGACTGATCACCTTGTTTTCACAGGTTTTCAAGATGACGATGCGTGAGTGTGTATCAACTTGAGCATTTCCCCTTTTTTAAAATTAAAAAAAAAGGAAAAATATTTAATTTAAAACATACCACTGTATAAAGTGTAAGCAACTGAGCTTTGGCCAATAAAAATGCAGGTTTATGAGTAAAACTAGCTGCCGACAGGTGCTTGGCAGTCGGCAGCTCAAGTTGGTTTTCATTTTCGATTATTGCGAACAAAATTTGCCGAACCACGACAATGTACTCGCGACGAACGAGATAAAGTTATACTGCCCAGGCGTTATCAGTCAGCTTGGTAAGCGATCTGCATGAACCGACATGCACATTCGTGAATCACATGCGTTTTTCTGTGAGCCACTGATCCGAAACATATGAAACTGTCTTTCCATATAAATGTTATTAATAGGGTTAAACTGTATACGGTATTTCTTGTTGATACCGCATGAACGTATTCCGAGTACATTCTAATGCTGGCTCGTATCGTACCAAGTGATTTCGTGTTGACCATGTCGTACAAGAGCAACCGCAAAAAAACTCATTTATCAGTTGTTCCTTGCTGACCGACACAAAAAAAACACCAAACGCATTACTTCATATTGCATATAATCGTTCAGAAAAATCATAATAAATTAATTGCCACACACACACACCATTAATCCATGCGCACTCGACTGACATTTGCAACAACCAGAGAAAATCAATCGCAAAATTATGGCCAACACAACATTGCCGATTGCATACAGTACGTTTTGCGCGGAAGCTAACAGTAAAAACTACCAAGTTTCGGATGATCGCAGCCGCATCCGGTGAACAAGCGTATTTACTCCAGAGCATCGCTGGCCGAACGTTTGCCCGGTGGACTGCAAAAGGTCACCATATATTTAGCACCACTTTTACGTATTGATGCGTATATACGTAATAAATTATATATATTGTATAAACTTCTTTTACAGTTTCTGTAAATAACCAAATACCAATCATTTAAATTTTTTTAAAATGCAGATGTACTAATTTATTTCGTAGTGATTCATGCATACTGTATAAATAAAATTTCCTCATAGAATTATTTTGCAAAAAATATAATCGTACAGTTAGTAGTCTTGTATTTTGGTAAAACATTATTTTTATGTAACTCATATCTAATCTACAATGCAGTTTGTCGAACTTGTTGGCAATAAAGATGGCAGAATTACTTATAAACTTGCGATAATAAATTATGTTCTACTTACGACGATGTGCGTGGCGCCGCGATGGACACGAGAAACTCGGGTATCTGGCCGGCAAACTCCGTGGTTGCGGCCGGCGGGATACTGCATTCGCAGTACGGCGCATTCTCGTTGTCGTAACGGCGCGGTGCCGGCAGAGCAGCACAGCGCGGACAGCTGGTCTGACGGCGCTGCGCCTGGTTGCCGTGGTAGCCTTCCCGCGCCGCCTGCCAGTAGTAGCGCGGCATCCGGCAGGACTCCACCACGACAATCAGCGAATTGGGATCCTTGGGACGGTCCACCAGCTTGGAGTAGCCGTTGGTGCCGCGCAATCCCGGCAGACCCTAGAAAAATAAAATTTTAATAAAAATCTAAAAATAATTATACCGCCATAGAAACCGGCATACCTTACAAAACAAACTATAAATATTTAGAATATAAAAAAATCTTAACTAATTTTCAATTTTAATGAAACAATAATTTTTGAGCTTTTTGGTAAATTCAGAAACTAAGTGCAAATGTTAAAAAATAAAGCAGATATTATAAAAAATATTTCAAAATATTAAAATATACGCCTATATATATTTTTCGCATATTTCGGCTTTTCGACGCTTCGGGAAATTATGCAGCAAATAATGACAGCAATAAAAATCTGAATAAATAAAATACTGTGGTATGTACCTATTTGTAATAATTCAGGAAATAAACACGATTTTTTAAATTTAGTAAAGTGTTATTAGAAATAGTTTATTAATAAAATAAAGATTTAAGTATAAATGAATATTTTTATTTTTAATCCCGAATACTCGTATAGTCTGAGACAAAAAAACGGAAACATTACATCAGTAATGATTGAAATGCTATAACACTAACAGATCGAGTAACGACGCTTTAAACTTATAATACTTTGTACTGTATTTACATTTTCCATGCATTTGCCTGGTGCGGTTGTGTTATACATAAATACCGTACCTTTATATACGTTACACAGATTTCATAGGTCTCCCTGGCCTCAAAACGCATCGGCGTCGGGAAGAGGATATGGCACACGGAGCTCTCGTTCTGTGCGTCCAGTACGAAGGAGCCGGCGGTTGATCCCAGCAACTGGGCGTTCTTGCGTCGGAACACGGCGACACTGGCGCACATCTTGATGAAACGGCCTCCCACCGGCTGGTCAGTCGGACGGTACAGACCGACACCGTGAAGATAGATGGTCTGATTGGCGGCCAGCCTATTCATATAAACGGCAGCACATAAATACTACAAAGATCAGTAACATTGGCGCTTCGATTTTTGGTATATTTCGGCCACTTTCGTTAGTTATTTATACACAATCTTATGTCAAGTTAGCAGGATCGTGAAAAGATTTTAAAGTGCAAAGTTTTTTTAGTTTTTCAAATTTGTTTAGCAGTTATGCATGTAGCGTGCGACAAGGGGGTTTTAAAAATACCAAAATATTCAAAAATTCTTGAAGGAAAACTCTAATGTGACAATATTCCGGCACTGACCCGATCCAGTGTGGCAAGGCCACGGAGTTTTGCATCGTTAAATCTACGTCTGCGTATGACCCGAAGCGGCACAGGCGGGTGTAATTGTTGCGTGGGGGCACAGTGGGACTCGGGGGATGGCAAACAGGGGCGGGCGAAGGAGGAGGCGGGGCTTGGATTATCTGCTCCAGTAACTGCACCGTCTGCTCCGGCTTTAGCAAGCCATCCTGTAGTACAAAATCACAAAACGTAAAAATAAAAGATGAAAAACGTTTCCTTCAAAACGAAAAACCTAGTTAACGTAATAATAATACAACTAATTTATTAACAATAAAAAAATTGATTGTCAACAAATGAATTAATATCCAGTTAATACATAAATTTAATAAAATAATCTAATAAGTATTTTATGTTAATAATAATAATTATTCTAGTAATTATAATAATAATTATAATAATAATAATTATTATTATAATAAATATAATAAGTGTTATCTAATAATAATCTAATATTATTATAATAATTTAATAAAATAATTAGAAATCTGGAAATAATAAATATTAAAGAATAATTTCATTAGAATTTCAATAAAATTTCTATTATAGATTTGTTAGTGGTGCGCACCTTGGAAGGCCCGTCCAGAATTTGCTTGGCGGTCATTTTATTAAATTCTACCAGCGGGAAAATCAGTCCCAACCGATCGCGCATGTTCGTCCCGGTTGGCTCCACCTCCACCGCCTCACACGCGTGTTTGGCCCATCTGTAAAAGCATGCACATTCAACGTTATTTCAGACAAAATGACGTTTCCAAAGCGATTTGCTTACCGGCACAAAGCGTCGTATAGGACGGTCTCCGGTACATCAAACGTTTCTTTCTTCACAAATTCATAGAGCGTCTGCTGGTTTAAACTGAGGAAGGACTCGCAGGTAAAGAGGTCCTCGGGGCGGGGGGCGAGTTTGTTCAGACAGATGGCGGCCAATTCTGCTTCGCCGCATGCGGATAACTGCAGAAAAACATCCAATCATTGTAGTTACATAAACAGCGAGAAGTCTTAAAGGTCGTTGTGGTGCACCTGGTTCACGAAGCTGATGGCGTTCTCGCCCGTGACGTGGTCGCGGATGTAGGCCTGACACACTGTCACCAGATTGCCCAGCTGATACTTCCTGGCGCCGAGAAGCGTGTCGACCATGTTCGTCTCGCTTAACTGCGAGCAGCTCTCCGTATACAGGAACCTGCAGAATCGGAGGATTATTAATGATAATTAATTTAACTTAACAAGAATCATAATTAATTTAACTTTATTAACAATTATAGCTCGTGTTGGTTGTAGGTGCAGTTCCGATTACGACGCTCGTTAAGGTTTTTCAATAACCAAGCAAATATTAAAAATGTTCACACTCAAAGCTCTTGATTATAACTATTTTGTAAAAGTTGCAGATAGAATAAGCAGTCAATAATAATTAAATTTAGACAAACCTATCAGCAAGCCAACAACTGAAATTGTTCTACCATGGAAAACAGCGGTATATAAGACGTTTCCAGAATGCGCAAAACGCTGAAAAAGTTTCAGCAAATGTGTACAAAGGTATATCAGACTGCCGTTAATATACCGTAAAATATTATCACTTACCGCAAAATATTTCGAAACGCTTCCAGGCCTACATCCTTAATGCGCACGATCCCATCCGCGGCTGCGTCCTCCGTGAAAAGCTGCTCAAAGGAGCTGCTGGCTAAGCTCAGGATAATTCTATAAATTATTTATTTCATCATGATTATCTTAGTAAAACGAATCACAATTACGGTTATTAAATTTAAGTTAATTAAACTAAATTGATTAAATTAATAACTATTTAAATAAAATAAAATTACGAAAAGTATGAACTGATATAGGCTGTCGTAAACAGTAATAACTGCAACTCTACAACGAATGTTAGCGCTATAACTACTGTACTGTAGCTGCAATAACCTACCGATGCCCAGGGATCTTTACGGGCCCGTCCGGTGTGTTGACTTCGAAGGAGACATCACTGAGCGCCGGGCACTCCAATAGCGCCTTCCCGCGTTCCGCCCAGGTGTTGCTGCGCGTCACGGCCGGAGCGGGAGCAGGGCTACGAATCGGGGAACCCGGAAGCAGACGGTCCTTGCAGTCTATGGCTGCCATGTTGTAGAAAACGCCTACTAAAACGTCCACCACAAAAAAATTACGGATGCACTTCCAACGGTTATAACAACGGATTTTGGGACTGGATATTTTAGCAGTTTTACGAGAGTAATCACACTGTAAACTATAAAGTGTTATCCGTGGCGTTCTTTGTGCAGTGACTGCAGCCGAACAATTTCTCCAACTGATTTCATGATGGGCAAAATTCTCTTGCTTGTATCCGGGTGGCTTCCATGAAGCTCATTTATACATCATGGCCAGAGCCGGATACCTGCCAGTAATCGCAAAAGACAGCGTCTTCTTAATGCGATTAAACCGTAGAGTACCTACCTGTTAGGTACAAATATCGCATTGCGTCTATGCAGGAATTTCGGCTTGCTACTGCAAGATGTCGGCAGAAATTTTCTTCACAGTTCATGCAGCTAGCGAATTCTAAGCTGATCAATACTGTAATACAAAAGCTATTGCATGGCATGAATTCGATTTTGTGGTACGTACTGCCAGGGCTGCCGAGCCTGTAACGTTCATTTCATGCTTTTTTGTAGAGTTTTCGAAAATACTCGACGTTTTTCCAGGTTATGTTGTTGTTAGCATGCGGTGCTGCGTAATAAAGCCTTACCGACATGAACCGCCGTTATATTGCTTTGCGTGCATACCGTTTTTTGATTAAAGACGTACAATATTACCCATGCATTTTGTAGGTTGACCTTTAACCGTTTCTACCGTGATCTTTCATGTGCGGCGTCACAGTTATTGCTACTGAGTAGCCTTTCGGTTTGTGCCGAACAGCATACAAACCAGAAAATGGCGTCCGATCTCTTGATTAATCAGTTTTACAAAGTAGTGTTTTTCTTGACTGCAGGCCTCTCTGTTATTAGTATTCTAACAGCTGCTGCCTAATAAAAGTGATTTTTCGCAATTCAGTGATACCGTACCACACTAAGTGTCAGACTGTCAGTAACCACAATACGCCGGTGATGTATCGTTAAATGCCGTACTAAAACGTAAATTTAGCCGTTAACTCGACGGGAAGAAATCTGTGAAACTGCGCAATGAAACTGCAGCATTACGCTTAGCACATTACACATTGCACATTACACTGTACCGAGAGACAACAGCCTAACCATAAGTAATAAAATTATCATTAATAATTCATTCACAGCGCTGTTATCGGCAACCTGTACTTAAATCCCTGCGCCGATATTGTAACAGCGCCGGCGGATGTACAGGGCGTTGCAGCTTGGGAAAAATCGATACCGCTTATCACTCATCACACGCGCCGCTCCGCAACCATTCTCCTAGGGATCTGCACGGTCATTCTCGAAATGCGGCTGTGTACGATATGTTCCTGGCCGTCGTTTTCGACTGTACAAGCTTGTCCCGTAATTTTTAACGCAAGGTACAGATAGCATGCGTTTAGCGCGAAGTTTGCGTTATCAAAGATTGTCTCTGCACTACAACGACAAGGTAGAAATATGAAAGTATAAATTTAAGGTATAAATATGAAGGTGATAAAAAGTACAAGAAACGGCTTCGGCTTTGCCTCCGCGTTTCTTGTGGTCTGCTGTCGGTTTCTCAAATGATTTGATTAATTTAGTATTACTGCGTGCACTATTTGCGATGACTATAGTCTATATGCACTAAACAGTGGTCTTACTTCAGTTCTTCACCACCTATCACGATTTGCGCTCAGAAAAAAAAAGGAAATTTGGTTACTCAAACTCTCAGTCGGCTCTGCGCATTGGACAGTAATGGAAATTGGTCACTCACTATGTGCAGTAAACAGTAGTGGTACTTCAGTTACTCACCACCACTCGATCCGTTACGTACCGACCTAGCGAGCAATGGCTATTTTCAGTAGGTTACCACTCCCCTACCGGCCTCTGCACACGAGAATAGTGGTACTTCGGCCACTCGTTATGTGCGGTTCCAGTAATGGTAGCTCAGTTACTGGTTCGTTACCACTCGTTTGATTACTCAATCACCTAGCGAGCTCTGTGCACTGGAGAGTAGCGGTAGTGCGGTAACTGCGGTTACTCACCCAGTCACCCATCTATCGAATAGTAATTTGATCACTCAATTTGTACACTAAATAGTAGAAATAGTTCGCTAATTCGTGTATGCGAACCCCTGGGACCGTAGTCTCCAAATTAATACCCGTTTTCTTAGGAATGATGGATGTTTATGAAGCAATTTGTATTTTTCTAAACTGTTCCTTGAGTCTATGTACTGCAGCGGTAATACTTTGTAATTTATGTAATTGATAAATTTTTTTCTATGTATGGTTGTTTTCAATGTGCACACCGCACAGCCCTTTTTGCACTGATTATGATAATCAATATCATAAAATTAGCCTTTATAATTCATTGCCGACGAGGATGCCGTTTATTTTTATAGTGTTTGTGTAGGGAATATAAATTTTCCGATTCGAGCAGTGCAGTCGGTTTGGCATTTTTGTTCTATGCAACCGGACTCTGAAATTATTTTCAAGGTCACCTTGATCTTTCAGCTTTACCGGCACCGGCGTCTGTGAACGGGAGCCGGAGCGAATAATTACCAATACTAAATGCATGCGACACAGTTTCCAGACATGCTGAATCGAATGACGCTAGCAGTTTTTCGGTTAATTTTTTGGTTTGTTCTGACCAGATCGTACGGGGTTTTCCGTTGTAATATAGATCTTTTCCTTGATATTTGTGTACTAAATATACTTCGTATTTAAGGCATTTTTCATATTTATACAGTAAACACATTTATGGTAAAATATATGTCAAATGTACGAGTATAATTATATTAAGGTATACATTTTTTGTATAGTAAATATGTTTGAGGTAGTCAAGGTTTCGTCAATTTAAAGGAGAAAAGATAAAATTTTATAACTTACTGTATATCGATAATTTATAATTTAGGTACATCGATAATTGGCATGTTTCACTCATGCCAAGAGCGACAATAGTGGGGAGTAGCGCGCCGTAGCGTAAGCCCCGAATTTGACTTGGTTGCTGTGCTTAACGCGACAGAAATTACGGGATAAGCTTGTATCGCGGCGCTGCTGTCATTCGTTTGCCCACCACTCTAACGCTCTATACAGCACGTCGTATGGATACCGAACACTCGGCAGGATATCGTCAGAACGAGCTTCCGGTTGAGCCTGGCAGCGCTACTCATATAGATATTACATTGTTGAGAGGCTGCTGGAAACGCGAAGCGGAATGTACGTATAGCGGTGGATACCGTGAGTGCATTACAGGAATGCATTAATGCTGCCAACACATGCGGCACAGCCACGCGTTGCAGTCATAACGCGCGATTTCAGGGAATACATTAGCGGTATCTCCACTTTTTCCGAGGACAATTGCTGCCGCGCAACATGGTCATAATAATTGAGATAATTATATATCGGCGGCATCGTTGAGAGTAATAACGGCTAACGTGGCATCTTGAGTAAATAACCACGTTTAATTTTGTTCGAGATACAACTGCGGAAAACGGTTCAGTAGAATTACACGACAAATACAGTAGTCAGTATTTTATTGAGAATGCCATGTACTACGAAATATCAAAATTACCAATCAGAATATTATCGAGAATTATAGCTGATGCCGGGAATATTAATGATTAAGCAACAATCCAAGACTGATTAAAGTTCACGGCAGAAAATTATTTTTATCCTAGTGTAACAAAGTTATTGATCATTTTTCATTGCGATTGAAGCATGTAATATACGCTGACAAGCAGCTATGATAGAAAAAGCCAGTTTCCAATTTACCGAGCCGCATATACGTAATATAACCGCAGCCGCATATAATATTACCGAGACAACTCCGTTAATTTTATTTTTAAAAATGCTACGGTATTATATGCACAGTTGCAACTACCCTGTACAGCTAATGAAAGCAGCACGTTTTAATAATTACGTCTTAACGCAGAGAAATCCTTAGCGTTCTCTAACCGCAGCTGTTTTTGCACGGGATTAAAATTATCATATCCGGTACATATGCGGCGAGCGATTGTTGTTTAATTTTGTACCGTACATTCACTGCATACACTATACACTCTTCTCCACCGGCTCACGGTATCCAGTACGGATGTACATGTATTCCCGTTTTAACCAGCAGCAGATGCGCGTATATATAGCGCGCGCAGCACTGCGTATTTAGCGTTCACAAGCGCATATATATGCATGGCCGTCGATCGATATTCCGGCATATCCGCGCACCGGCTCCAACAGCACGGGGGTATGGATGACAGTCGCGAGTGGCGAATTGATTTTTCCGCATTTTAGATACACGGGGCCGCCGGTTGCTGCTGCCGCTGCTGCACTGCTCTTCTCTCTTTCTCTGCTGCATCCAATCCATTCCGAGCTGCCAGCTTTCTGATCGGATCCAGCTTTGCCTCGTCTCTGTCTCCTCTCTCTCTCGTTCTCTCTGTTTTGCACACACATCTACACACACACGACATCCATACTGCCAGTTGAACAAGGAAGTATTTTGGCTAGCAGGAAAGGAAGAGAAACCCATCAGCCATCAACAGCCACCGGGATACACACACACAGTGTACATCGTTGCTTATTACGCGCGCGCCCGGGATCTTCGTGTTTTTACGGCCTGTGAATCTTTGTGTGGATAACCGCCATTGTTTCCTGGAATATACTTCTGCTAGTGGTTATTAAGTCTGCAGAATACAGTCGTCGTTCTTAACGCTGACAGCCGCGTTCCTGTGCCGGTTTGGAGAATGCGTAAATCATATAAAAACCGTCGTCGGATTATTTTATGGTCCTGATATTTGGCGAATTACGGTAAGAGTAAACTCTTCTCTTTAAGAACTGGAAAACTCTTTTATTCACAGCCGCGAAACTCCGCCCATTTTTTTAATAGGGACACAGGACACCGATTTTTTTAATTAAATGTTTTTCCCTGTGTAGTTTTTTAATTTTCGCAGTATTCCAGTTTGTAGTATAATAATCAGCGCCTTCAGCAGCGTTAGGTTAGAAATTAAAGGTTTAAAGTTAGAATAAAGAGTGGGCGATGCGCCGAACAGGGAAGTTGTCCGCGTGCGCCAGTAATTACCCAATCGATATATACAACGCTTCCGTTGCGCGTTTTTCCACATAACACACCATTAACGACTTTACCATAAACCTAGTTTTGTGATATTTAACTGTTGCAAAATTCCGCATTTACCACCCGATAATTAAAGGTTACCGCGCGCGCTGCTTAAAGGCGGCAGTGGTGCAGTAGAACAGGCCGCGGGAGACGCGCATACATAGAATGCCGGCAACGCTGTATACACAGTCCGCTAGGCATTCTGGGCGCCGTGTCGCTACAGCAGCGCGCTAGGGATAAAATATCGATTTTTTCCCGTGTGTTGGCAAACGGCGACCTTGCTGTTGGGCTCCCTTTCCGTGAAACGGGTATGTACGGCGGCAACAGCTTAAACAACACCTGCCCTGAATTGTGTTGATACACATCGGTGGCAGGAAAGCCAAACCAGCTAATCAGTCCAATCTTCCTGTTCTAATTACCGTGTGCGGCGCGGCGCCCTGTTTTTCGCCCCCTTTGCGTTGTGTGCGTGATGGTACACGTTGACATGTGTCATCTGTGTTGCTTCCGTTAAACAGATTGTCCCCGGCGACATCACGGTGCGATTGGACTGAATTTGGGGGGAATCACCTGATTCATACTCTTGGTGCGTTATATATAACATTGCTGTATTTAAACTGCATTTATTTTGTTATATGAAAGCAGTATTATTTGTGTATTTTTTGCAGTTTTTTATTGTTGATAATACTCTATTTAAATCGTCACAATGGGCTGCACGATGAGCCAGGAGGAGCGTGCGGCGATGATGAAGACCAAAGAGATTGAGAAGCAGCTGAAGGAGGATGGTATCCAAGCGGCCAAAGACATCAAACTCCTACTTTTAGGTAATTCTCTCAGAATTCACCGGTTATTCATAAACGCTATTACGGCGCAGCCGAGCGTGTCCCGGTTGACCCCCGGTAATGAGCGGGCGGGTGATTGGAAGGTGCGACGTCTTGGTTAAAGAGTTTTGTGACAAGATGATTGCGTTTGACTCGGAGAAAATGCCTGTCCTAAATTCCGGCGTCCCCATTTTCACCGATTACATGCGTGCCGTACGTTTAATGCGGGTCTTGCGTGACTGTTATGTAAATGGGCCCCGTACCCGGTATTATACTGTTCAAGGACATTCGGGATAAAAATGCAGGGCAACAATAGCGGAAATAGATTTCCGGTTGCAGTGCATAACAATGTACAACGCGATCCTTGTGTGTGCTGTGTGTGTTTGAAGAAATTGTGAGATTGACGGGCGTTTTCGGGTTGCAGGAGCTGGTGAGTCGGGAAAGAGTACCATCGTCAAGCAGATGAAGTGAGTAGTGTGTTGTGTTCTGGGTTTGCTTTAAAGTGTCCAAAAATAACCCGGGCCACAGCCGATCAAAGATCTACAGCGCTAAAGAGTGGAGAATGTGTGTATTAGACAGCATAGACCAGATTGTAAGGAGCTCTCTCTTTGTACGGCGGCCCGGGACGGTATTGATTGGAGGGAACAGGGATTGCACCGGGTGCGGCAGTGTGTAATGGGTGTCTGTGTTTGTTCTGGACAGAATTATCCACGAGAGTGGCTTCACCGCCGAGGATTATCGCCAGTACAAACCGGTGGTCTATTCCAATACCATTCAGTCCATGGCCGCGATACTGCGCGCCATGGCCACCCTTAACATCCCATTTGGTGGCGACCGTGAGGTACAGTTTTGTTTCAACGTAAACAAAATAAAAAATTTATGATAGCTTTTTATAAGTGTAAGAAACAATTTAATTTTTTTTAGAAACGGCAGTTTTATTCATACATATATGTATATTGAAAAAAGCGAGCAAAAAAACCAATAATTTTTTTAAGCGATTTAATTGCTTCACGTTTTAATGATCGCACCAACATTTTTTTCGCAAAAAGTAAATCGAAAATAAAGCGGTTTTGTCTGGAATTTTTAAAAAATAAAAAATCGCGTTTTATTCCGCAGTGCAGTGAATTTTGTTAAGAGACGCACTACTCTTGATTTACATAATTGGTGACACAGTCAAGTAACGTTTGACCTTTGTGTGTTTCCGCGCAGAATGACATGAAAATGGTGATGGACATTATCACGCGCATGGAGGACACCGAGCCCTTCTCGGATGACCTGCTGGCCGCCATGAAACGCCTGTGGGCTGATCCCGGCGTCCAGGAATGCTTCGGACGGTCCAGTGAATATCAGCTCAATGATTCCGCCAAATAGTAAGCCCCGGGAAAATTTAATTACAATTTTACTAAATAAACATATTACAAAGCATCGATTTGCCCGGTTTTGCCTAAAAAGCCCCGTCATCATTAGCCTGTGTTTAACTATACATCATTCCCTAATGCGCGTGCAGCAAATCGAATCCCTGTACCCTGGCATTACACAGCGGAGGCCGGGGCCGTTTTCTGAAAATCGATATTAGCTTGGGTGGAATTTTTCGCCGCTCTCCTTTTTACACTGGGCGATCATCTGTCGTGCATGCGCGTAGCCTGAACGGCTGCAGTGAACAGTGCGGAATTTTGCGTGTAGATTTCTGAATGTGTAGTGCATCTCTGTGTGTGTGTGTGGAGAGAGTTTCCGCGGGAAGAAAAATCGATATCACTCTGTGAGTGCCAACGCCAGCATACACACAGCGCAGCATCCGCTGAATGTGTCGAATGTCTCTTCATTCTCTAAATAACCCGGGCGCCCATACACACATACATCAAGACAGTGAAGATTGCCAGTATAATGACGCCGTTCTCGTCAAAAAGCCGGGCGTATGCTGCAGCAGTAGCCAGCATGTTCCTGGATACACAGCGCTATCGCTGTGCAGCAGCCCAAGCCGAACAAATCGATATTTGATTGCTAATTCATTGCTGTGATCGTGTGTGTGTGTTGTATATATACGCGCACAGCGCTGACGTCAGCACACAGTGGGGAATCTAACGCTTTTTTCTTCTCTTCTTTTCCGCGCCTAGTTTCCTAGACGATCTGGATCGACTGGGACAGAAGGATTACCAGCCCACCGAACAGGATATCCTCCGGACACGGGTCAAAACAACCGGGATTGTGGAAGTGCATTTCTCCTTCAAAAACCTTAATTTCAAGTAGGCATACGCAAGCGTAATCAGTGCCCAGCTGTTGACGTAACGTCAACCTGACCTTTACCCTTAACCTTGCGACTCTTCCGGCAAAAATTACAGTGTACATTTATCTTTTACTGGTTAAATCAACATGACCTTTTTACCTGTATATAAAAAGATTTGAATATGTTTTATAAAACTGACCATTAAATCTTCCATAAAAACTTTCCAAAGCCAGATAAAATTACGTATTTAAATAAAAGTGTTTACGCTTACTCATGAAAGCCATTGAATTTTAACTTGTAGCCAAAAATTCAGAAAGGGTTTCGAATTTGGAAAATGAATTTACGCTTCCTAGAAGACCAGTGTGCGTTTTATGAATTTGCCTTTGACCTTTAACTGAAAAAGATTTTAAAGCTTCTAAAAATGTAGAATCAGAAATTCAAAATTAAAATTTATAACATTTTTGCGTCATTTAAAACAAGGATATTTGCTGTACGAATTTGTCAACGTAAAGTTATGGCGGAGATTTTCCGCTCTGCCATTATCGTCCCGAAAATGGCCTGTTGTGACAGTGCCCGCGTAATGGATTAACTGGCTCAGTCTCTCCGTTTCTCTCACTGACGCCCGTTTTTCTCTCTCCCTTTCCGCAGATTGTTTGATGTGGGCGGGCAGCGTTCTGAGCGGAAGAAATGGATTCACTGTTTCGAGGATGTGACGGCAATTATCTTTTGTGTGGCCATGAGTGAATATGATCAAGTTCTCCATGAGGATGAGACAACGGTAAGGACTGTAATACGGTGCTGACAGACCGCCGCGTAAAATGCCGGCGATTGATGGCTGTATGATGGACGGGAGCTCCGCGGTGTTGGGGCGTTGTATCGTTGCGCCGTGCTGAGAGATCGCTCGACACGGAAAAGGGTTACGTGATTCCGTAAATTTATGCATTTATTTATCGGGTTTGTTAAGCGTAGTTTTCCCTGAGTGGCGAACCCGACACCGAATAACCGCAGTGGTCCGTTACGTGCCCGGTTGTGTTGTGTACTCAACGGGTTATTTTGATTGGCCATTTACGTCACATGTAGCCAAACGTAGACACTCGGCATAACCGCAATTTTCATCATGACCGGATGCTGCTGATTGTGTGCCTGGGTGGGTTGTTCGTTATAAACAGCTCCGCGCGCGTTGAACGTCAGTCGGCGTGTTTATAGAATACTGTTATAAATGTCAATAGACTCGCTCCCTACCGGAAGCCCGTGGTGAACAGGAGGAAACAATAATGTTGTCAGGGAAAAGCAGCGAGTGCAGGCATACTTTAGGGTGTCTGGTTATTACGCCAGCCATCAAAACATGATTTATTGGCATTTGACGAAGAGCAAAATGAATATATTGAGTAGCTTGATTTTCAAAAATAATTTGCAAGGTCCATTCGACACCGGAAGTGCGTGTGGTATTGCGTCAGAATAAAAATTATTGCGTCGATTAAACGCAAAGCCCAACAGTTTCAAAAAAGCCAAGAACCGAAGGAAATGTCAGTCAGCACCTGGCGAAAAATTGATGGACCTGAGGATCACCAATTATTTTTGCGGGAAGAGTTCTACGCTAAATGATATAAAAACCCTAAAGATATCATTATTTTTGGCCGTTAGTTTTGGTTGGTTAGTTAATTTTAGGATTCGCGGTAAACAGAATCAATAAAAATTTCCTGGATAGAACCCGTGGAGAGTGGTGCTAAGAAACCTAAGAAAACCGTTCCAAAAATATCTGCCACGACGTACGTATAGATCTTTGCCGCCACGTCGATGGACGTTTAATGTGTGTACCCAGTTACAGCTTACAACCCCGAAATTCCTTGCGCATTTTTCCATGATTAATATGCATGAGCGATACATTTTTCCGCGGCCTAACCGTGTAGTTTGTATGCGCCCGTCTTGGTCGGCGCGCGTGTAGCTTTGACAAGTGTGCCGATATACTGTAGCCGTCCCCGATCGATAAACCAGCCAATCAATAGATGCCGAGCCCTGTGAGCGCGCGCCGCATCGATATTAGCCGGATAGAACACACATGACTGCACACACAATCTCTCTCTCTCCACTGTATTGTATAATGTACACAATACTGTCTATTATAAAACTGTATGTGCTTGTATGTTGCAGAATCGAATGCAAGAATCCCTGAAGCTCTTTGATTCCATTTGCAACAACAAATGGTTCACCGATACGTCTATTATTCTCTTCCTGAACAAAAAGGATCTATTTGAGGAGAAAATCAAAAAGGCCCCCCTCACCGTCTGTTTCCCCGAGTACACTGGTAAGCTCTCGCTATAAGATTCCGCTAAAGAGACGGATGTGGTGTGGACGGGGGATCCATATGATCCCTTTTCCCGCAGCATCCCAATAAAGTCTGCGAAGAAAAATTTTCCGCATTCTTTGACTTCTATGCATATCGTGGAAAGCGCGGCGAATTAGAGCGCACTGAGTGGCGGATTAAATTCGCACCTGCGTAATTTAACCGGTTAGATAAAAGGGCTTTCATCGGGTACCTGGAACAAGGTCATGTCTTCCTAAAATCGTCTTTTTGTTGTGTTGTTTTAAATCTCAGTAAGAATGGAATGGTTATAAAATTTTCGAAAATTTTTTTTATATTATCCTAATCCGGAACACGAGGCTGAACTGATTCGCTTAAATTTAATTTAGTGAAAACTTACGTGTCTGAACACTTGAAGTGATTTATTGTGAAAACACTCGTATTTACTGCAACGCTGTTACAGTCCTATAATAACTGGTCTTAAAAAAAGTTATCAAAAATAAATTCATGGTAAACTGCTTAAAATCCAAACGCATTTCTGAGATTTTGAAAATGCTGGCCGAAGAATTAAAACATTTTTTGGTTTGCTGTTTGGTTATTAGGCTGACGCTTGTAGTAAGTATAGGCAGGGTAATTACTTGAAACATGTGAAGGACATAATTTACGGAATAAATCAACTGCAAAATGATTAACCAAAAACTGCATTTTGTTCATCAAACAGGAGCACAAGAGTACGGCGAAGCGGCGGCCTACATTCAAGCTCAGTTCGAAGCCAAAAACAAGAGTCCCAATAAGGAGATCTACTGTCACATGACCTGCGCTACCGATACGACCAACATCCAATTTGTGTTCGACGCCGTCACCGATGTGATTATCGCCAACAATCTCAAAAATTGCGGGCTGTACTGATCACACACCACTGACCTATACACACACTCATCTCTTATGCACACACACAACGGCCGGCGTTGTAATTTACGGCGCGTGTGCGTGCGTGCGAACCACAGATTACTCCTTCTATATATTACCTTCTATTATCACGCCTGTATAGCCAGATTGACCTTATACCGTTTTATTTCTACGCCACACTGAAAAGAAACGCCCCCAAAAAAATGATCAACTCTCCTCGGAGCATTTCGTTGTAAATGGTTCACATTCCTCTATGAGAAAGACAGCGGTGTTCATTTTGTTTACGGATTTTCTATGCATATTACGCGGATGACCTTTCATATGTGGGTTACCGATATCATATGTTGCTGTTTGTTTTTATCGTCGAAACCGAGGAGAAAATCCAGCGGATTCCGGGTCCGTCCACCACCTAATTCAGCTCTTAACACGGACTATACACAGCCCGATCTCATGTTGACCTTTTCGCGCTTAAAACGGATTAATCATCCAACCCGGCTTCATCCATGGCTTCAACTGTTGGCTTGTTACGCGCGCGGTTAAATCACCTTCATAAACACGGCTCATGACCTTTATATTATACATCTTATATCCGTGGACGATGGGGCAAAAACACGAAACCGGTTGTTTGTTTTCTCTCTCTCTTTCTCGTTTTTTGGGAAGTCTATATTGCATGGTGTCTTTTTTTTAAAAACTTGGTGCTTTGTTTTTTGTGTTTCTTTCCCCTTTTTCTTTCGTGAGGTGTGCTAGCACGCGCGTGGATTGTAATATTCGCTGGGAGTTTGGTTGGTGTGTGTCTTCTTTTCTGCCCAGTCTGGCATGTCGTCGCCGCATAATGCGTAATCAAAAAATGGCCCACCGCAACTTGTTCACAAAATGTGGCGTGGATATCAGCGAATGGGGAATAGTTCGCGTATATATGGATTATCCGGTGATGATCTGTTGGATTCTTCGTTTTTTCTCTTTCTTCTAGTCGGACATATAATTGCGTATATTGGCTTAAATGGCGTAATCTCTTTATTTTTTCTAATTTTCTTCATGGATAACCTTTTTATCGAATGCGTTGAATAAAAGTTATAATAATTAATAACAGACGGCTGTCGTGGGATTCATGGCGCGCTACAGTGCTACACTACCCAAGAAAATGCACGATTAACGACATAATATGTGCCATCAATATACCATCAATATTACATATTACATACAGCCGCATACAATGCAGCCACGGACAAAAAACCTTTGCTATACGTTTGTGTGAATAATTATTGAATATTCAAGGCTGATAATCACGAATATATGTACGAGTATATCGGTAAGTATCGACCCGCAGATGAAATCCACGCTAGGTGAAATCGTAGTGTAACGGCACCAACCAAAACCATCTTAGCGCCGGTGTTGTGCCCGTTCTTAAAAGTATTATTAAAAGAACATTAAATTATAACTTATTAACAAAATTTATTACTTATTTTAAAATATTCACTTATTTTAATTTTTTATTATTTGAGCTTTAAATTAATATTCATTATCAAAAATACGATTTATTTTTACGACTTCTGTTATTTATTGTGTAACTAATGCATGCGTTTAATTAACCCGTTGACGGGCATTGGCGTCAGGACGCAACATGGTCTTCTGAATTTTTTTCCCAATGATTGGGAACAGTTAATGAATATCAATTAGCATAATTAGCAATAAGAGACTTTAAAGCAGCAGTAAAAACATAATTCAAACTTATATCTCAAGTTATTTACAAATGACCGTTGCCCGAAAATGGCTAATTTCGGACTTTTCAAGCTCTCGTAGATCTTGCTAATTAACTAATTAGTGGATGAATAATTAAACCAGACATAAATCAACAAAGTACAACTAACAACGTTCTATTCAAAATCAATTAACACGAGTCTCGTAAGTTGAACCGTAGAAGACCACAGTCCGTCAAAAATTTGTGTTGCGTGCCAACACCATTGCCCATGAAGGGTCTCGAATACACGGGCGGGTGCAATTTCGACTATTTCTCTTTATCACATAATCAGATCAAGTTACTGTCGGTTCGTACGCAAAACATGCGCCACGCGGTTCTGTTGGTCGGAAACTGACAAAAAACGCTTTTGCGTATCAACACCCCGGGCGGTCGGCAAAAAGACAAAATCGTCTCTAAATTTTTCGGCTTCCGGAAAACGGAACGCTTAGAGGAACCGAACATGATAGTCCTAATTGTAATTCTATACCGTCGTTGCAGTAACACTGTGAATGGCGGCACAACACCACGGCGGCCCGTTTCTACATATTAATGCATTGCTTGGGCAAGCTACTGCTAGGCGAGAGCTGCATAGCTTTTCAGAAACATGAATTTTGTTCCATCAGTCTCGGGCGGTTAAAAACTACAGTAACTGCAAGTGCTCACTGTACGCGTGGACATTGGGGATCTTGACCTTTGCGGCAGCCTAGCTAGTTTCTTCCGGTCGCTAACGCGTTCCAGAAGGTGCTAGTGACCGGTGTCTAATATCTCATTTTGCGTTAATAAACACTGTAGCTGGACTATCCGCGCCGCCTTTTTGGACAGTGGCACTTGCGGCCATACCAAGGAAAAATGCAAACGCGCACAATGCGGGCAGTATAAAGGCGTGCCAGACATTCAAGAAATGCAATGTTAAACTTCAAAAATGATGCTTCGTGCAGTCTCGTATGAGAGTATAATGAAAGTTATGGGAGAGAAATATTGTTAGCATCGTTTATTTTCTGTATTCCATCTGTAAATAGTGGTCAAAATACATGGCAACGGGATATGGTAGTCTTTAATTTTTTGCTGACCAGTGGTCAACTTGTTGACCACTGCTATGCTCTTGTTTGGAAGTCCTTTTTTTGTACTATTTAATGGATTTATTACTTTTATTTAATTTCCGTTCGTCTAATTATCACAAAATTAAACGTTTTTATGCTGTAGACCGTCCATGGGCATTGGCGTTGGCAAACCCTAGTCACCACGGCTGACCTATGGTCAGCACAAGCTTACAAAAAATTCCCATTCTTAATTGATTTTTTTCATCGGGAAATCCCGATTTTCAAAAGGAAACTCGCATTCCTTCGGGTACCACCCGCTGGAGGGTTAAAGAAACCGGGAATTAACAACGGCATGGCTCGTTACGCTGGCACAGCAGATTTGCTTCCTATTCCAACGCATTATCGATCGCACAATCATGCGATCAGTCAGCAAGTCCTATGTCTATATCAACTACTCAGTACATGAAAAGAATATAAGCAGGCTGTGCGTCAGTTCGGCGTAGTATTAAATTATAAAAATACTGCAGTTCGTATTATATATTTCTCTGATCCTAGTACAAAACCAAAATTACTTTACTAGTAGTATACGTTGTGCTGGGTGTATAATCTGCTTCATTCAGAAAGATTCCTTAAACATTCCCATTGTAAAATTATTTCCTGGATAACTAGTAGCGTTCCTGCGTTGGAGCTGCTTTGTTTTGAACGTTTCGCGTACACTGGCGTAGTGGCGTCAACGCCATGGCGTCAACCAACATTGCACCTATGCTGCTACAACTAATTCCTACAACTTTATTAGCCGTTTACGGGCTTGGCTACTCTAAAATAAATCAATCACTCAATCAATCAGTTATCCCTTCCAGAGAGCATGCGACGCTTTCTTGGTGGACATCATCGACGACGCCGGCAACCTCACCCGTGGATGCGTTTGTGACGTATCGATGGGTTTCTTTCCGTGCAGACTAACGTCTGAGATAAAACCGACACTGGTGCCGTTTGACCGTCTGATGCTGGGATTATCGGGAGAATTTCGTAAGAAACCGGCATGGAGTACATCGTCCCGAACCCCGACGGAGGCTCTGATCAGCAGCGGTCCCGGTCAGCCCAGTCAATAGCAGCGAGTGCGACTGCTGCAGGAAACCAGATTTCAGACTGGTGGAATGCAACCAGACTGGTGGCTGATGCTGGTGCAAATCGGTGAACATGGTCCACGGCATATTTCAGCGAAGACCTAGCGAACCCGGGGAATCAGCGTTTCCGCCACCGCCGCCGGCGACGTCCCGGCGTCACACGAGAGAAAACGAGCATTCGTCTGCCGGAGCGAGCGGTGGCGGTGGTGCACGTGTAACCTTCCCAAACGACCGGTCGTCTGAGACGGTTACATGCGCGAATGCCTGTACGCTCGTGGTTTCAGTCTATGCTGGTCGCACGAGACGCAGTCGAAAATAGTTGTCATTGTGGAGAGCAGTCTGGTGTTGATAAGGGCTGATAAGACCGCTGAGCGAAGATGCCCAAGAGCGAATCGACGACTTATTAATATTCAGCGTCGAGAAGTTGGAGGCGCTGTACTGGGTGAAAGCATTCTTACTGGCGACATCTTCTTATAATGTCGAATCGCTGCTAAACGACTTGGTTGCGTTTATCTCCACAGAAGGTGAGGACAATGTTCGCTCACTTACATCAACCGTAATTTAATTTATAACCCGTTCGCGCAATATGATCTCCCTGACATCTACACATTCAAGCACGTTATGAAGGGTACTACGTACCCTTCATGGCGTGCTTGAAAAGCGGGACCATATGAAATCGTTGCCCAGCGGTCGTTAATAAAATTAGTAACAATATAATAGCTTCTGCGTTCAGCTACAACCAAGCTGAATGCTCACTTGTTTGGAAATTTAATGACCTCCTCCGAATTTTGTTGTTTGAAAACTAATCCTGCCCCCGGAAATAAGTAACACTTTCTCCCGATTAAGCCAATATCTGTATGCTCTATGAAGTTTGAACTATTTCTATCCAATGGACAATGGTCATGTCAGGGCGGGCTTATGATTCAGCCCTTCTATCATTGGTTGGTTTTGGGTTTTTTCCTGTCCGGGCATTTGTATGCTGTTTCACGGCCTGCAGCACAGCTGTGCTGGCTGCAGGATCCGTTTTCTTGCCAGTTGGTTTTTGGCTTGCGCGCAAGGCGCGGTGTGTGTCAGATTTCGGCATTAAAGCCTTCATCCGAGTTTGCTGTGTTCCGCCGTCGATGGTCGGTGCGCGCCTAGCCAGCGCCACCTGACAGTCACCAATTCGATGACTGCGGTATACCGAAATCCTTCGCTATAATGCCAGTTTACTTTTACACGATTGGCAATGTATGATGTAATTTTAAATTCAGCGTTTAGAGAATCAGCCTGGACAAATAAAAATTGCAAACAACCGCAGCCACTAAGGTGCCTTCAATAATCCGTGGAGACACGTGTCATATATATTCCTGTGTCATCCGCTGTATTGTACTCTATAACTGTGTAGGGTTTGCCTGATTGCACCATTCTGAAATTCTGCGACATGCCTTCGCTTATTCGAATCGAAGTTTTCTCCCATCTTGAATACTATGGTCGACAATATTTACAAAGGTACCAAAACCATTTTTTTGTATACTACGACGTATCATCTGCATGTCAGTGACGCCCTGCCTCGCGCCACCATAATTTTGTATTACGGTTTTTGGTTAGAGCTTCTACCAAATGGCAAGCGGAATTACAGTGTCCGTTTCTTCACACGACAGTCAATATTTTGCACTGAAGTTATGGAGAACTGGCGCATCATTTATCCCATCGCATACAAATGTTCGTCAGCCGCAGTACAAAAATAATATATGGTAGTATGGTACGATTTCCTTGAGCCGCTAGCCGTACTGTTTTCTTACTTCTGTATCCACCTCCGATGGCTGGTGATGGTGAATAGCGATGGGCGAAATACCGACGAGTTTTTTAAAGGCGACGGGAAACAGATCACGGAAACTTTGTCGAAAATCTGCCGGAATTTTTCTTGTAAACGCTGTTCCTGCGAACGAAGTCTCTATGATTTCTCGGTGAGTCGCGCATCGAATATGATCACAGAATGCAGATCAGTATTTTCGTTCCCAGTTTTACGTATATCATCTCGGATGCAACGGTATGTGACGTGCAATTAGTGAATTAGCGCTGTTCAATCCCCTGGATGGCATTGTCCAGCCAAAAAAAAAATCCAAAAAATCCAAAAAAATCCAAATCCAAGTTTGGAAAAAATCCAAACTTCTCCAAATTCAAGCCTGCATCGCTGTTTTAAACGAGATTTTTGAGGAGCCGGAAGTTCTGGATACCTTGTTACTGGACGACCTTTGCTGCGTCTTTCACCAAGTTAGTGTTCACTCGCTTCGGTTGCTTGCAGCTTAATTACATTTGAATGTGGTATTGATTTTAGGAGGAAAGTTCAAGCCACCGAGGAATTTAAAGGACGCTACAAGATTATCATTTGAAAAACTGTCCCGGAAAAACCTGGCATTACACACTCTGGGCAGATGCAATAGAAAGTCAGCTGGCATCGAGCTACTTGTAAAAGCATTTGTAGTTTTGGTACCGGTACAACAATATTTTCATATTCATTTGCTGGAATGCTTGCATACGCCTAGCCAATGTGTCAGTGCCGATGTACGGACACAGGGTATTAAAGAAAACCGTAGAGCTAAAAAGTCTAAGAGCAAGAACATCGGAAAAGCTTGAGAAGTTTCAAATTCGTTCCCTCAAAAATGACGGGAATCGGTAAAAAAGACAAGAAAACCCGAAACTTCCGTATCACAGAATAAACAATCCATAAACTTTTAGAAAACTCCGCTACGGTTCAAAATCACGAACCAACTGAATTTCGTCATTATAACCTGCATCGACGGGCGGCAGGGTGCGATTCTCCCAGATCGTCAGCAAAATCTCCCGATAGCTCGTCAGATTCCCGTTGACCAGGTCCTCCGGCGATTCAATCGGATCGTAACTGAACCGGTTGTACGCATGGATCGCCATGGAATTCTCCCAGCGAATCGCGTCCGGTTCGTGAAAAAACGGATACAGACGAAACGGATGGGGATTATTACACGTATTATTCAGGACGTACGCTTCCTGTGGATACAAATAGCTGAGGAATTTCGGGACGAACCCGGAGTTGAAATTCCAGTCGGGTGTGTAGATGTCGGTATAGCTACGGCGCCACGCCCACAGGATCTTGGAAGTGGCCGGCCCGGCTAGGAGACCCATGTTGTAGCCTTCTTTATTGCCGTAACAGGTAATGAAACGCCCGGCGCGTATTAGTTGGCGTAGACGTTGACCGCGGAGGAAGTACACATCGAAATCAGCGGCCACTCCGCCGTACTGGAGCAAAGCGTCCAGTTTGGCGATATCGGCACGGTGCTCTAGGACGTGGATGTCGCGGGGTGCGTTGTCCAACCATCCGGTTTGTTTGACGGACTGTATTTTGCGGAACTGGACGCGGTGGTTTTCCTTTGATAAGTTCCAATATTTTCCTAGAATACGAAGTGCAGATTTCAGTTTACTGCGTATCTGCTACTGCAAATCGTGTGGTCAGTTTCTATCGTATATCGCACCGGCGAAGTTTTAAATATCGGACCGGCAAAGTACCGAAACATTTACGAATCGTGTCAATAGCATTATTTTAAAAATTAAATTAGTCACTTTGGGGAATAAGTCTATATTCTATAATAATGACATTAAAAAATAATATCAGATAATATGCACATTCTAAAATAATATCAAATTTTGTTAATATTGTAGTGAAAATATTGTTCAGCTGCATTAACTATAACCGTTTACAAGTAGTTTGGACGAAGCACATTTTAAGAAATTCACTTTTCATAATATTGTGCTCTCCAAGATCGTGCGGACGAATGTATCGTGGTGCAGCTATAATGTAATATCGATCTCACGAGTAATTTTGCAAACTACGCATCTCATCAGATTACGTCTGGCCCGATTTGACCGTAGTCAATTTTTATTTTTTTTATAATTTTTCTTTATGGAGCGATTTTATTCACGAAAAATTTGCGAATAAGTCGGAAAATTTACGAATATTGTCATCTGCCTCGCCTGATTGAATCGAATGTACAGATACTCGTACATACTGTACGAGTACAACAGCAATTATTTTTTACCCAACGGGCATTATATCTCAAACTACGCTCGCATTGACTTTGCTCACCGCATCGCATTGATTTCGCTCTTTATGGCTCTACAAACAGTAAACTCATCACATGCGGTCACTTTCTCTACGCGCTGATATTTGCATATTTTCGTTCTACGGAAGTAGCAAAAATTCTTTGTTTGATTCGCGTGAAAGTCTGCAAAATTTAAGTTACCGGAGCGAATCATGAAAGTACAGTAAAAGTGAAATGTAGGTTTTATTAATTTTGTAGTTCCTCGTAAAGTGGTTAAAACCAGCATAAACGTTACCGGTTGGTTCCTCATCGCCGTGCACCATAATCACATTAGGTTGCAGCCGTTGCACCGCTGACAAGACACTCAAGTAATCCACAAATCTAAATTCCACCGGCTTCTTCTCCCGCTTAAACCGCACATAATGCAAATATAAAGGAAAACTTTGAGGAAAGGTAACTGGTCCATGCTGTTCGAAGTCAACAGAACTGGATAAATACTGTTTCCGGGCAAATGCCGCCACCAGCATACAGGCGCAAGCGGCCCCTAAAAGATATGGATATACTTTCACAAAAACCGTATCTCGACTGGATAGCCGCTGCAATAGTAGCTGAGCGCGGTAGATAGTTCGCATTGTGAAATCAGCAGCGCTGTGCTAATACGTGTGGCTCTTCTGACGAAGAGCAGCATCGCACAATGTTACAGAATGCATCGCTAAATGGGTCACCATGTCGTTCTCTGTGTTGTCGGTTTGCTGTGTACTAGCTTGCGCTGATATACATTATACAGTCAGGCATTTCTGTGTTGGCTATGTATGCACTTTGCAACCGGTTATTAGAATCACTTTCTTACTGTAGACTGTCGTCGTTCGTCTCGTAATTTCTATCACACCAGAATAGCTTCTCGACTGTCCACAACGAGCGACGGAATATAGCCGTACTCATTGTGATTAGTACGTACTTTACGGCTTTACTCGTACTTGCTGTAATCCTTTTACGTTCTAGAATGTTCTCTATCATTAATTGGGGTTGAGTTTGGCTTTCTACACCGATGCGCCGTTCCTATATAAGTCCCTAGTGGCAACATTTTGGACATCAGATCACTAAATTAATGTGATCATCAGTTCTGTTTTCATTCTGAGTTTGGCAGTCGTCGGAGTTTGTAATAAATTTATCGTCGGAGTTGCAGATTCTCGCTTCGCATAGATTCGTATACTTAGCGATGCCACATTGAGATTATCTGCTCATATTCTGTCAATGAGTAAGGTCGGAAGGATTGATTTTTAAGGTAATTATTCCTCTCGTACTGGTATCTCCGTCACGTGCAGTGTGGAACAGATTCACATAAAATGTCGGTAAAAGTAGCGAACAAAAGCGCAATGAAGAGAGGAAATACATAAGGAAAATTAAAAAGCTACATACAAGCAAGCAGCTAAGCCGCGCACTTGCATAAACAGAAAAAACGTGCATGATGACACTGACCACGGATCCACATTCCACAGCTTGATGCAAAAAATTTTTAGTGTCAACTACAAAAACAAACTATTACGTGACACAGAGCCACATAGGACTCTTACAAAAAAGAACTACCCTTTACAAAAAAGGACTCCAGAGCGCACACCACCTATGAAATAAAATATTCGTGGTCGCAGAACACATTTGATAACTGTCATTTCTACCCTGTCGAGAAATCTCTTGGTTTCCGCGTCGCGGACCCCTTTTAACCAATGGAGTGCGTGAACTTCCTCGTCACCCGTTACCGGCAGTGTCGTCTCCCACGCATCCCACAATGCGCCGCCGAAATCAACACCCGACTTCAGTCGCACGGTGCGCATGTTGATTGAGTTTTCAAATGTCAGGCGCTCCCTTCCCATGGTAAAATGCAGATTATTATAAATGACGAAGGATAACGACGCCACCCGGTTCGGCACGATGTGGATGGCATCACGCGGCACGCCACGGCATACAGCAAGGAAATCCTTCAGCCACGCATAGCCCTCTTCAGGGCTCGGCATTTTAAAGTCCGTCTGGTGCTGGTCGCAATCGGTCGTAAGAGTGACAGCGCGGTTAATCACCAACTTGAGACGGGCGTGGTACAGATACAGGGAACGGAGACGGATACCGGCATGATAATCAGCCGTATATTTGATCAGGTCCAACATCGTCATTGCATAGCCCATGCGCCACTGTCCGTCCTCGGAACACGTTATGACAACGCGCTGCGTGCCGGGGCGTAGACAGTGGTACACCGTCGCTAAGCCGAAATAACCGGCAAAACGGCTCGAGCAGCTGGGTTGCTCAGTCCGAATGACGATGGTGGAATACAGCGCGGGCGCCTTCATGATGCGGTTCCATGTAGCGCACACAGCGCGCAGCTGCGTCTGCTGCACGGTGTCCAAACCAGCGAAGATCTCTTGCCACAATTCGGCCGGTAACGCCATTGCCTTACAGTAGCGACTGGCCGGAGCCTCGTAAGAAAGGTGTTCGACCATACACAACAACTGCTCATTAAACCGGTCGAATTGATGCTGCAAAAACGATACCCATACAAATAAAAACATTTACCGTAGAGACAAACAATCGTTTTACCTGCAAGTAGCTTGGGAACACCTCAGGTAGTTTGCGACAATCCAGCTTAGCAATGTAATCCAACTGGCCATCCGCGAGGCCCACCACGGCGATGTCCTGGCTAAAAAATTGTCGTATTAGGCTGCCGTTCAATCGCTTGACGAGCGCCTGGGCCCCCTCCGTGGACATTGAGCGGAAGTCCATCCCAAGGTCCACGCTGCGCTTGATAAATGTCCCGGGGTAGACGGGATCGCGGAGACTGGCGTTTCGGCCAGAATCCGAATCAAAGCGAACGCGTTCGACGGGGACAATGTCCGTGCACGGCTCTTCAGTGCCCGGGTTTTGCCAGTGGAAAACGGCCGATCCCAAATCTACCAGCGGCGTACCAGGTCCCATGCTGTGCATCTCACCGCGGACCCAAATCCACGGACCCGCTGGCGTCTCCGGCACGAGAATCTCCACCTTGTACACTTCTGGTAAGGAAAGCGCAACATTAAATTTTCTTGAGATCGTTTCGGGTTCCCGGAAAACGCTGGTAAATGGCACATATTCACGTCGTCGATGGGGACTGAGATCGACGAGAACACCATCAGTAGCCACGTCGATTACTTTCCCGTAGCGCGACCGCTGATCGCTGCCCAGTACGTACACAGCGTTAGCGCGATGCATTTTGTGGGGGTGCGCTTGTTGACGGCAGACAGCAAATTAGGATGGGCACTGAACAGTGCTAAAAAAATGTTTACTCGCAACAAAAGGATAAAATTCCGCAATGTAATGCAGCTCCTACAGGTAAATCGTAGTTCCGCAGAAAGGCAGTTCAAAATTGCAGCGCTGACATACGCTTTTATACTGTACGCTTTTATCTGCTTTTGACGGGATATGACCACAAAATGAGTTAAAGCACTATCGATAGTACTTAATGACTTGTCTGTTTAAGGTTTTAACTACCATCTACAGAGTACGTATTGTGCCACTGAAGTTCCGCAGTCTACCAATTGCGCATCACTGGTTCATTGTGCAGTACTAACCAGGGCACATAGGGAGGCTTCAATTTTCATACAAAATTCAAATCTCATCTTTTGCAGAAAGGTAGTATACTACTATGTATGTACTATTACTACTATACTACTATGTATGCTTAAAAAATATTTTCATCGGCTGTGACGAAGAGGGTGTGGCCTTGTTTGGTGTTTTCTTGTGTTTCAAACATCCGACACTTCACACTTGTACATATGTTTCGGAAACTGCCAAAGCTGCGGGAACAGCTCATATGACGCGTGATAAGCATAACACGTGCAGTATAAACTGTAGGTAGAATTAGAATAGGTAGAAACCGTACTCTGTAGGATGACTGACCACCGGAGACGCCGATCGCAGATCCAGGATCCTGAAGCAGTCCGGACGTTTTCTTTTCAGCTTTGCTCAATGGAATCAAACTTGTTGGACCGCCGTTCACTACTGGGTGGCATTAATTTCAGGCTTTTCAGCCATGCTGCACTTCGGCTAACACACTTTTCAACCAGCACACTACGTTTACACTCACTTGCCCACAAATCACAATCCATCGAAACTATCTTTTAATCACAAGCTTGCTGAAAATGCAAGCGTTTAGATCTGGGAACATTTTTGCCAACGGCAGTTCGTGGCGCAGTCCGTTTGTCTGGGATCCAACAAATGTCCGGCACCGGGAGGTTACGGCTTCGCTCATGGCTATGAAATTGCATGTTGAAATACCTTGCAAGCGACCGTCACCGATTTATAGTCCGATTATGACATGCATCTCACCCGGACTCGGCCTGTTTTAAAACTGAACGAAATAACAGTATACGTGTACTTCGGTTTCTCTCAAATTTCGCTCACCTTAAGTACATGTATATGGTTTCATAATTCGCTCACTGTAGGTGCCAACATTTCCTAACGGAAGGAAATTTGCGGTATGATTTCTGATCATACCAAAAACTTGCTCATCAGTTTCTAAAAACAGACATTCTTGAAATTCAACAAAAAATAAGCAAACGACAAAAACATGAATGACGAGCAAAATGGAAACCATGCCAAAATTAGTAAGCATGTTGATCTGCCAGCATTTATTCATGAAGCGCGCCATATGGCAGTTGCGCCAGTACCCGGTGAGCGAAATATGAAACCATACAATTAAAGCGAGCGAAAAAAAGAGACAAATCGAAGTATAGCTCTTAGCGTTAATATAACGGTGACGATAAAGATACCCATTAGTACTCTGCATGTATTGTGAAGCGGAACAGGATGCTCTTAATTGTTGTGTTCCTGTCAGAGAACTACGTAGAAACCGAGGGCATTGTTACCCACCGCCGTCTGCTATGTAGGCCTTCTCTGTTGTTATCCTAGTGATATCCGTCTCTCTGGAAATCACGCGCCCCATTTACTAGCGAGCTTGCTATGGCTATTGGCTCAACATTCAGTCTATCACTGGGGAACATAGCGATAAGGGTGGGACCAGCTCCTGGCAGTTTTCCTTTGTATTCGGGATCCCTGTTAGATTTTGTTCGACAGCTGCCGCTCATTAGGCAAGTAACCGGTAACCGCACAATTTGAAAGCTTAAAATAAAAGAAATTAATGCGTAATGGAGTGCTAGGGTAGGAAAACGATCGCTAAGGGAATCAAGAGACCAGTGAGTAAATAGCACTGCAAGTATAGTTGCACATTATCGGCATACTGCGTAACTGATTGTTAATGGTTAAACTTAGTGGCTTACGGTAGCAGCATGTAATTGTACACAGTACACCTAAGGTGATCAAGTGATAATCACTGAACGCATTGTACAGTTTCGTTACAGTCAGCATGACATGCGGATTGCTGTGAACGAGAGAACCATTATTCTAACTTCGGGCAGTGATTCCTAACCGGCAAAGAATTTTCCAGCGAGGGAATTGTGCCGGCACGGTTTCCTCCCCACCGCACATTGACTATTTTCCAAAATTCTGGAGACCTTCAGCAGTATCTGGCGAAAGCCAGCAATACCTACTGTCAGACGCCTTTCTTCCCAGTCTTAAAAAGCTGCGTTTTCTGGTGCAGGGAAAGTCAAACGCGCTAGTCTTCATCCTCTTCACTCGCCGCGCTTGTTCGGGCGCTATTGCCACTCGCTCCACTGGGACCGCTGTCTTTCCGGAATTGACCTTTGCGCCAGTACCATACGGCGCCTGCGATTAACGCGGCGAGAATCACCTAATAAACACATTGTTGACTGTTTTTAAAATTATAATCGGACAAGTTTTTGCACAGTGCATATATCATCTCATTCAAATAATAAGACTCTAATGACAACTTCGTCATGCTGCTTTATGCCACTGGACCATCATTTTGAACCTACCACTCCAACGGCGATTCCAATAATTATTCCAGTATTACTCCCGCCGGATTCTACGGATATTTTCTCATTTTGAAACAAGTCAACATAAACGTTGCTGATTTAAACCTGACATCAGCACGAGCGTGCAAATGTGAGGAATACGTTTAAGAATCTTTCTACTGACCTGTTGGTTTTGAATTGGCCGGTAGTGTGTCAACCGTAGACGAGTCATTGGTGGCAGTCGTTGATATACTTTCTACTTCCTTCCCGCTGCTCGGATGCGGCGTAACAACGTTTTCGTCCGTACTGCTGCTGCTCGTCAAATTAAAAATGCTTTTCACTTTGGCCAGGGAATACAGACCCTTTTCCGGCTTTTCCGGAGCATCTTTGTCCGTATAACCTGCCTGTAATTTTGAAGTTCTGTTCAAAATATGTAGTTCAGCATCATAGAAAACACTCAAAAATTTTGCAGCATTAATATATGGCGCTGTAGCGGCAGTTTATATTCTCACGTATAAAAAAGGTTGGTTCATGATGTCATCATAAGAAGGGCCGTTGCATTTCTCTTCGGCACAGACGCAGCGTGTATCAACAATGTCCTGCCCGAAGACACTGCTTTCTATTGCGCGCTTGTGTTTTACACACAGGATCTTGCTGCCTTTGGCCATTTTCTTGAATTCTTTATCATCTTTGTCGATTTCTTCGCTAGCGGGACATCGCCGTTCCATAACCAGGTCTAATTCAACACAGCAGAAAATAAAGTGGCGATTGTCGCTCCTCGCTCGAATGATTTGCTTACGATTAGTTAGTTTCGTACCCCATCGTTTTGTCTCGTTAATATAGCGCAGACCAGCCAAAACCATACATGTCTGCGCGGCGGTATTTTTGCATTGTTCAACGGCACCAGCGTTTTCGGTAGCACATTTTTCTGCCTGCTTGGGATAATTGCACTGGTAACAGGATAACCCTCCCACGCCTGAATATGACAGTTTCTTTTTAAAAAAATCTTTAGAAAACATTGCGATAGTGAGTGTTACAGATTCCGTTTATTTACACGCTGAACTATGAAAACAGTTATTGTATCTAACTGGAAATGTTAACGCTATACCCACACGAACACGCAAAGAACAAACTACATTATTATTTTTATAGAAATAACTGGCGTCTATTGCAAGACATTTTCCTACCTGACAGACAGCATAATGAGCATAACGTGATAGCGATAAGATTATAGAGCTTCAGGCGGACGACAGGGTATGATCGCACCATGATTTAAAGTACACACAGATGGTAACTGGAAAGTGCGTTGGGTGCACTGTCTCGATTTGGCGCGACAGAACGTCCAACTGGATGTTGCGCTACTTCAATGCAATTTGCAGGTATTTCGTCATTTTTGCTTAAAAGATACAGGACGCAAAACTTGTAATGTAGAATTCAAGAACTACTACAGTTGGAACATATTAATTACTACACTGATGAAACATTACGATTGAAAAGGGTCCGCCTAACAATATTACAAATTTTGAAATACTTTTGACGACTGTCTGATTGTTATTACTATTTACTGGTACTACTGTACTGTTGTTGCGAATAACCACTTAAAGTATTACCTATATTAAAATGCTAATCATCGTAATCTATTGCTTGCATCCTGAGCAATAATCTTGCAGTACCTCTGCAAAGACGTACATAATACATAGGTATACTCGTGGCTACGTATTGCTATGTTGGTCACAAACGAGTTTTCAGAGTTTTATACGTATTACGCAGCGTCTGCCTTATTCTTATTATTACTGTACTCTTACAATTAATTTCGTAACTCCCAGCAACAGTAAAAGTGTGTACTTGCTACTTAAAAACCTGTACATGTTAATCTAGTTTGTGTTTTCTAATCGTGCTTGCTTTGCCTTGGTAGTCAGAGTGGTAAGCCAACGCCGAAATTCTGACGCATATTCTGTTGATCTTTGATCTGCCGCTGGAATCAGGGCTTCTTCAGTGCTGCATGAGAAATTGCGAACTGCTGCATAAGAAGCTTGTGCGTGGTAGAAAAATCAAAAATGCAGAAAATCCGCCTACGCAGTTGTTTTCAGTTCTGGGGACAATTAACAAACGGAAAACATGCCATACACTTGTCCCCAGGTACATGTTTTTTTTTGCGACCAAAGCATTACATGACTCTTTTGGGAGCATGGACACGGTTAAGATATCTCGAAAACGCGGCTCGGATGACAGTCCAATGGGAACCAACTCCCATTTTATATAATTATCATGAGAATAGAGAAAATTTACCTAAAACCACGAAAGATTTCGCGGCTAACGTTAGACTCTAAACCGCACTCCTTCTGCAAAGGGCTGTACGCATTACTCTCCCTCATTAAAATACAGTACCCATCCACATCGCGTTCACTCTTTGGCACAGTACTGCGTTTTTGGCACATATAGTTACTTGCTACTGCCTACTGCCAACATCGTGTTTATTCGTAGCAAGGGATTCTAGTATTTTCCACAAAACGCACGCATGGAATAGTCAATGTGACGCTTGAATGATGGGGCGTATAAAACTGTTTCGGGGTGATGTCAGAACAAGCGATTTTATTGTGTGACCAAAACTGATGTGGACTTCACCATTTAAATGTAGTTCAGCCGGTTGTTTGGTCGGCTGGCCGACGGAAACGGAATAAGTGCCTAAATTCCTTCCCTTTTTCTAAGTTGGCTTGCATCTTTAACTGACCTAATTGTAACGGCACAATGAACTGGTCCCCACTAAATAACGAGTCAACCCTATCCTCGCCCGCCCCAAACTCCTCGCACGTCCACAGTACTGCAGCGCGATATTTTGACGCGGTGGTTCGCATTCTCACCACATCCTCCACCCTTAGCTTAAACCTCCTGGTCCTCGTGTTACTCCACCAGCAGCGCCAGTTCACCACCTCCTTCACCGTCTACTTAATCGCGCTGTGCTGCTCCAACCTTCTGTACGCCATCCTCAACAGTCCCTTCGACATCATCCAGCAACTACGCACTACGCTGCATCTAACCTTCGCTACCTGCACCGTGCAGATCTACGGCGCTTGGATGATCTCAGCCTGGACGATCTACAGTCATACTCTCATCACCCTCAACCGGACATGTGCGACGTATGCACCCCTGCACTACCGGCAGCGCCACAATAAACGCGTCGCTGTCAGTCTCTGCTTGACGCTGCTGGTGTTGGTCCATATTGTGTTTCTCCCGTTTATCGCGGTGGATGCGCTGTACTACCGCAGCGGTTGTCTGCTGAATTTCCGTGCGCAACCGCGCACTTTCATCGCGCTGCAGTTTTTGCTAGATATGCCGGTGGCGGTCATCATCGCCGCGTATCCGTTACTGCTCAAGAAGGAAATCGAGCGGGTTAAGCAGCGACACGAACGTCGGCACAAGCGGCGAGTGGCAACCATTACGGTGCGGCAGACCAATGGAGAAACTATGCACGAATCCGTTGAAGAAGTTAACAACCAAGACGCAGCGCGGCGTAACAAGTACCCCCTGCTGTCGTCGCGAGCGTTTCGAGTGTTAACACTGATTACCGGGAGCATCGTTGTGTGCTGTACGATTTCGCCGGTTTATTACACGATTATGTGTTTTGCGGATATAGGGTCATGGGAAGTAGTGGGCGAGATTGGGGATGTACTGTACAGTTTACAGGCAGCATTCGATCCGCTATTGTTAATTGTGTCGTTAGGCTATCTGCGGCAAGCGTTGTTTGATAATCTTGCGAAGGTCGTACGGATTTTTCGCGGCGCTGAAGTTAGCCCGCTAAGATGAAAAAATATTTCTTATAAATCAAGCTTTCTATCAGATACGACCGGCAACAGTGCTGTGCTGCAATAAATATCCGGTCTGTGGCAATAAATAGCGTGGCTTGCGCTTCTATAAACTCTGTTTTTCGTCTCATCGGGTTTTTAAAAATTTCTTGGAATTTTAAGTCACCCGGAGTTCGTTTGGTGTTCCGTGTTCGCAAAGTTTCTAACGCTTTATTTGTATCATAGAAATAAATGTTTGGCACGAGGAAGCGCTTAATGGAAAAGGTGGAAAATGATCGTTGTTCCTTTGTTTTCTTGATGCGGTTCTTCGTGTCCATTTAATATGAACAACATATCGGTGAGACCGCATGTGTTTTTTGTCGTTCAATTTTTTGTTAATTGGAAGACTTTTTCCAGACCCTCTTGGGGGTTCAGGTTCCCGGGAAATCCTTAAACGGATTTTGAATAATGATCTACGGTAACAAACCGGCCACAGAATCTATAAAACAAAAACTGAAAGGACTTAATAAACCAAACAAATCACAGTCAACTAAAAGGTCGAAAGCACCATTCCTAAAAAATCTGAATTTTTTTTACGGTTTGTCTTCAAATGTCTAAAATTGTTTATTGACTTGACTATATTAATTTTGTAAATGCGGAAACTTTCAGAACGCGCGCAGATTACCGTTGCGAACAAGTTATACAAGCGGTTTCATTCAACGCGCGCTGTACACCTATGAATACCCTATGAACTTATGATCCGTTACGTCGGTTCTGACTCAAATTACCGTGTCAGCACATTCGGCAGCTGTGCAATCCCACTCCGACAAAATTCCCTGTAGACCACCATCCTGGCCTGTTCCTCGTTTTTACCGTAATTCATTTGCCTTTCGTGTAATCCCCATTTCAGCTCCACACAGAACCCAGTTTCATCAAACATAATAATGGATAATAACACGGCGCATAACATTTCCGCCGACACAGATGTTTTTTCCAACACCACCTCCGTCCCTCCGCACAGTCCCGTGGAGTACTTCGACATTGTCTTCCGCATCATCATCACCATTTCCACGATTCTCTTAAACGCCGTGGTGCTCCTGCTGCTCTACCAACAACGCCAGTTCTCCACATCCTTCACGGTGTACTTAATCGCCTTATGCTGCTCGAATCTTCTCTACACGATGTTAAACAGTCCTTTTGATATTATCCACAATTTATATCCAAACTTAGAATTAGGGTTCGCCGCGTGCACCGTCCCGATTTACGCCGCATGGGTCATTTCGCCCTGGACAACGCACAGCCACACGGTGATCACGCTGCACCGCATCTGGGCGACCTACTTTCCCATCCATTACCGGCAGCGTCACACCTGCCAGGTGGCGGTGTTATCATGCGCCGCGGTTCTTCTTTATGCCCATATTGTTTTAGTACTGTTTACCACCGTCGATGCTGTTTATTACCGCACAGGATGTCGACTGAACAACACCGCTCAACCGCGTACTTTCATCGCATTACAACTCGTTCTTTTCGATCTGCCGATTTTTCTGGTAATTGCCGCGTATCCGTTGCTGTTGAAGAAAGAATTCCAACGAGCAAAGACGAAGCATGAACGAGGGAAAATGAAACTGGAGTCGATGACTGCGCATCACAGCGAACACGGATCGGATGGCGCTGAACTGAAAGGTCCCGGTAGAGAACGTAAATTCTCGCTTCTCTCGTCGCGCGCTTCCGCGTGTTGACACTGATAACGGCGAGTATTTTCGTCTGCTGCACGATCTCGCCGGTGTAATATACGATGCTGTGTTTTGTGGAGCTGGATTGGTTGGATTTACTGGGGGAAATCGGGGATGGGCTGTACAGTCTGCAAGCGACGATTGATCCGATTTTGTTGGTGGTGTCTTTGGGTCATTTACGGGAAGCGTTTTTTCAGCATGTGTTCAGACTGAAGCGAATGTGTCGTGGCGCTCGTGTCAGCCCATGAAAAAAATGTTTTCGTTTATTGTAATAACCGGCAACATATCGCATGTGTACTGGAAATAAAGCGAAAACACGTCGAAATGCTCGAGCAACAAAGTCTAAGTTTTATTTATGTGATTGAGATTAATGTGACGTGTCCTTGCGTGGTTTGCCTTAGTCTTACACTGTTTGTTACGGGTTGTATAACGCTTTACCTTACAAGTTAGTGTACAACACTTGTGTTACGAGGAGAGATAAAGAGACTATTGCCCTTGCGTTTTGACAGTACAGATCCCCAGAGAGATCTCAATGAGTTTTCTTTTTAGGTAGATTTCCCAGGTGCCCAAATCAACCGTTAGTTCTTAAGCCAACTCAGTGTCACTTTTTTCCACGTTCAGTGGTACAGTCGCCTTGCCTGATTGGCTAAACGGTACGTGATGCAGTTAAAACGGTACTTAACGGATTCAACGACTTTTGAGGCGTATAGCCGTCTAAAATCTAAATAAACAGGAGTGGAAGAAAGAGGCTTCCGCATATAAACCGCATTTCCAGGCAATTCGCGGAACAAAAGCTAATGTGGGCAAGCGACTAGAACCGATCATTAATATTGTGTATTAACGTGCGATCTTATTTTACGATAGTGTTCCATAGCCTATAACTAGGCATCCCGCAATTCAGTTTCAATGTACCGCCGTTCGTTGATGACTTTTGATTGCAATAAATGTGCAGCCAATCTTTTTCTCACCATTCCTCTTGGCATTTTACTTGTTGCGCATCAGATTCCTGTTCAGCAGCATAATCACAAAATTACATACGAATGACATACATACAACGTATCTTATATCCGTGGACGATGGGGCAAAAACACGAAACCGGTTGTTTGTTTTCTCTCTTTCTCGTTTTTTTGAGAAGTCTATATTTGCTTGGTGACTTTTTTTAAAACTTGATGATTTATTTTTCTGTGTTTCTTTCCCCTTTTTCTTTTGGGAGTTGTGCACGCGCGGGGATTGTAATATTCGAGGGGAGTTCGGTTAGTGTGTGTGTTCTTCTTTCTGCCCAGTCTGGCATGTCGTCGCCGCATAATGCGTAATCAAAAATACAATGTACGACAAAAAGAGGTTGAACCGATCAGTCGGTCCGCGGTTCAAAATAACCTCGCAACGACACGCCACCACTAAAACTTGGACGCTTACTCACTACTTTCAGACGCTCGCGCTCCGTGAATATCAAAGTGCAGCTATACTAGTTGCATATCAAAAGGTGTAGAAACAAATTTTAAACTTTTTGATACTAAATCTGTGGCTGTTTATGGCGAACAGCACAAATTCTAGCCATTTTTCTTTCTCGTAGGCACAGCATAGGATCTGTGCGCATAACCGTTTGGCTTGCAATCAATGCTTAAGTCTATGGGAAAGCAAAATGGCTAGAATTTGTGCTATTCGCCATAAACAGCCACAGGTTTAGTATCAAAAAGTTTAAAATTTTTTTCTACACCTTCTGATATGCAACTAGTATAGCTGCACTTTGATATTCACGGAGCGCGAGCGTCTGAAAGTAGTGGTGGCGTGTCGTTGCGAGGTTATTTTGAACCGCGGACCGACTGATCGGTTCAACCTCTTTTTGTCGTACATTGTATGGCCCACCGCAACGTGTTCACTAAATGTGGCGTGGATATCGGCGAATGGGGAATAGTTCGCGTATGTATGGATTATCCGGTGATGATCTGTTGGATTCTTCGTTGTTCTCTTTCTTCTAGTCGAACATATAATTGCGTATGGTGTCGGCTTAAGGACAATGGCTCGGTACGCAGCGTCAAAAATGGGATACATACACTAAAACTTTAACTTTCGCGCACTCCAAATCACTTTTTTGTAATACATTATGTCTTTCTAAAGCTAAATGATTTGCATAGATTGTTCTAAAAACCGTTTGCCCGCGCAACGTCCGGTTGCCGAGATATGGCGTACTAAAATGGGCGAAAAGTTTAACTGCATTGTTGTGCACCAAAAGTCTGGTTATTATCCGATCTTCTTGAAACTTTGCTATAAAAGACACATAGCTATAAAGTCGAAAGTGAGCCAATTTCAGGTTCGTAGCACTTTCCCATAATTTTAAAATGAATTTTAAAATCGAAAAAAAATGCTATGGATCTGAAAGTGGTTCACTTTCGACTTCAGGGCCATGTGTCTTTTATAGCAAGTTTCAAGAAGATCGGATAATAACCAGACTTTTCGTACACAACAATGCATTTAAACGTTTCGCCCATTTTAGTACGCCATATCTCGGCAACCGGATGTTGCGCGGGCAAACGATTTTTCAAACAATGTATACAAATCATTTAGCTTTAGAATGACATAATGTATTACAAAAAAGTGATTCGGAGTGCGCGAAAGCGAACGTTTTACTGTATGTCTCCCATTTCTGACGCTATGTACCGGGCCATTGTCCTTAATTGGTGTAATCTTAGAAACCACAAACGGTTGTGCGCGGGATTCATGATTCCGGTTATAACAGCTAAAATCTGCCAAGCTTGCATAAGTAGTATGGCATCCTACGGATGCTTGCAAGCCAGACTCACGATATAGTAGCATCATATGGCAGACATACATAATTACTGTTATATGTGAAGCATTCGGTGATAGCAGATTTCGCCATGTTCTTTGTGAAAATGTTCTGTGTGTTTCGCAAATGCGCGCGGTAGTGTCCGATTCTCCCAGATGGTCAGCAAAATCTCCCGACAGCTCTTCTGATTCCCGTTACTGATGGCCGCCGGTGAGGCGGTGACCTATCGGGTCACAACTAAAACGGTTGTACGACTGAATCGCCATGAAGTTTTCCGAGCAAACCGCGCCCGGTTGGTTAAAAAACGGATAAAGACGAAACGGATGCGGATTATTACACTTGTTATGTAAAAAGTGAGCTTCCTGTGACTGTAAATGAGAGAGAAATTCCGGGTGAACCCTAAGTTGAAGTTCCAGTTGGGTGTGCAAATGTCGGGTAACAGCGACGCCACGCCCGCAAAATATTGGAGGTAGCGGGCCCAGCTGGAAGTATGAAACGGCCGGCGCGTATAAGCCGGCGCAGACGTTTCCCGCGACGAAAGTATAGTACACACCGAAATCGGCGGCCACTCCGTCGTACTGCAGCAGCGCGTCCAGTTTGGCGATATCGGCACGGTGCTCGAAGGATGCGATTGCATGAGTCGCGTCGCTCGACCAACCGGTTTGCGTTACTAACTACTAGCTGCGTTACTCGGAGCAGGATGCAATGGTGCTTCTGCAATATAAAATTCACGTTACGAGTGCCGAGTGCGCGTGTGTTAGCTGATACAAATTGAGTGGTCTTTAACGTTACTGCATTCAAATCTCGTACCGGTCAAGTGCCGCAACATTATTCTATCGGATAGACACATATTACCGAACAGTACAGTAAAACAGTGAGATTGTAATGAGATTTCTCGGTTATGTAATTGGGTACTCAATGTAATAACATAAACAATAAGCTGAAAAAACTAAAATTTACTATTCAATCTACGCTACGGTCATGCAGTGCCCGCAAAAAGCAGTATACTTTCTTAGATAGTAGTTATTTATTCCGTCGCCATCAATCAGCTAGAGTTTTATGTCACAGCCTATCTTGTACCAGTCATGAGGAAAACTCCAAGGTAGCAGTATCGTACTGAATTACTTTACTCATGAATGTGTACAATTGTATCCCCAAAAAAAAACTTGGTTGAATATCCACGAAGACAAACTCTATTGTACCATCCGGAAGCGACAAGTAAATGGCGGCGGTACCGTAACACTGCCCAAAAAAAAACATCGATAATCAAAAAAATGTTTTTTTCGCGCGATTATCAAAGATTTAACCAAAATACAGTCTGTCGATCAATGGTTCGCGTTTGACAAGTTCCTCTTTCTGTTGTGGTGAGAGACACGCGGCGGACCAATCGCGGAACACAGCCTGATATTCTAGCGCATGATCGTGAACTGAATGTAGCAGACGATCCAGGTCTTCCAGGCTGAAATGGTTATCCGCCACCAGAGGACCAATCAGTTCAGCAATGAAGGAATACAGCGTCGGGATGCGCTGAACCAGTTCGCCAGTGCTCCTCAGAACATGATCGATGCTGCAAATGAGAAAACGACAGCTGCATTACAAAGCACCACTTAATAAGTCCCAGTGTTAATGTGTTATTGCATAACCAGTGTCTAGCAGCAATAATGTACGAGTACTTGTTGTTCAAATTAAAGCCCTAACAAAGACAAGCGTTGCACCCGGATAAAAGCTGTAGCAAGAAATCTTATAGGGACATGTCTGCATGTAAAAAAACAAAAAATAAAGCATTGATTTAAAAAATATTTACAAATTTACATCCGGGCGATAATAAGCAAACCTCGCTAATTCTGATAACGTTTTAAGCGATTACGTTAACCGATTCCGGGTTTATAAACATTTTCCGCCGCGTATAATCCATGCTATTATGCTGCTTAGAGCTTACCCGTCAGAAACTACCGCGGGCGAGAACAGACCACTGCGAATCAAACGCGAAAACAGCTTAACGTTCTTCTCCCACGAATCGTTTACCACTGACTGCTCACTCGACTCCCTTTCCAACGTTTGTTCTCCAGGCGCTCCCGCTGTAGTATCCTTTCTTCGTCTGAATCAACGATTTCAGGTATACTGGTCTTTTCTGATTGTGCTCCGAAGTACGTTTCCAGTAAAGTTTTCAAAAACAGCACTTTAGTGGCGTCGGTCCAAGTCTTTATGCGTCGCAGACACTGGTTGATGATTTCCTAAGATACCCGCAAATCCAAATTACAGATACGGGTACTCATTCAAAAACTGCAGTCTGATAAATTTAAAATACCCGCTCGTCAACATCTCTCGCGTTTGTGCATCTTATCAGCATAGCGCTTGTAATTTCTGCAACATTTCCCGCGTCCAGCTGGACGCTTGCTGCCCCGCTACCGGCCTCCCAAGAAAACACATCGCTTTCGTTTGTCCTCACGCCTGCCTGGCCAGTTTGCATACCAGCCTGAAAAATACATTCGATAACCCGATTATTCGATAACGAAAATCTCTGTTTTCCGGTAAATATAAATTGCTACTCATTCGTTTGGTTTTGTGCGAATACCATTGCACTACATAGTTGTTAATTCAATGTTGAGCACCACATCCCATCACTTTCTCGCTCACCAGTTTCCGATTCCCGTCAGGCTCCATCGACTGGTCTGCTGTGTGCCCACTATGATGGGCAAACTGGCGACTTCCCAAGACGGATACCGCGTTCATGATCGAGCCGGGCTTACCCAAACCGCTTCCACTCGGCGACAGTAGGCTACCGCCGTCCATGCCCAAACTGCCACGTGCGGGAGGCTGCGGTCGGTGGAGGGGGCTTGCTGTCTCCAACCGTTTTTCTAAAACAGCAGCGAACCCTTAGCGAAAGTAAGGTACTGCTGGTTTAAAGTAGGCACCCGTCTTCGAATATGTGCGATATTCTACGATGCGGCACGCACAAGAAATTATTTATCGAGCGCCAGGTAAAAACAATTTGGATAACAGTGTCATGCAGACGGCATGTACTAGTTAAGCAGTATCATACGTCATTTCAGAGTTTGGATTTCCCCACCTTTACAAGGTACGATTTAGGAATACCCGACCGCGCAAACTACAGTTATTCGCAAGGGACAGAAACATTTGTGCTACTGATGGCTCTGTGATGCGTGAATAACTAATTAATCGCATAACGATAACGACGCATCATTTCAGCACATCATTTCAACACACAGTTAGATTAGCGGCCGCTTCCCCCTTAATTTGGAAATCTTGGGACATACGCATTAGAAATAGCTAGAAACGGATTCGGTTTATATTCTTCCCATGAAATGGCAAGTAATGTAGCTCTTGGATTATGGAAGCCGGAGGGAAGCGTGAAGGATGGACGTTCTACGTGCACATCGCATGCCGAATGCATTTACCGCATAAACAGTTTCGCCGTGGTATATAGCTTACAAGTTAGGTTAACGCATAAATTAGTTTTTTCGCTCTACTCTTCCGCCATAAATCGCTTGCGGGCTTTTAAACACTTACTGGATTACACGTAGACTGGATACAGATATAATTAAATTTCCTAGTATGAAAAGCATAAACACTCAAAATCGAAACTCTCTGAGGAGCACTAATCATGGTGGGATTTTTCGGGCGTTTGTGTTTTGCATCCTCACCTTGTACAGTACGTGACGGGACATAGCGTTCGACGGCGGCATGTAGAAATCTGTCTTGAGATCTGTGGAAAAACGTAAGCAATTTGTTATCGGCTAGTAAAAAAGCAGTACCCTGCTAAATCCTTGAATTTGTACGTTTGGTTGAAATTCACCATTACGTTAAATTCTGTAGCAAACAGTATACTCTATTTTCACAACGAGATCCGGTATGTACGACGTTTTACTACTGGCAAGGACATTTACGAATTTTCCAGAACAAACTGGCTGCGCGCACAACCACTACTCAATGACATAAACTTACGTTTGTAACTGACAGAGTCTTTGCACGTGTCCTGAGCCAGCGTGAATAAGGCTGCGGGAATTTGAACGGACAAGGTGTCCCCGTCTACCTCAATTGACTTGCCTCGATCTTCTGGCTTTACAACAACGTTGTTGTAGATGGTGATCATCCACCGATCCCTATTGCCACAATGAGCTTGCAACACAAGACACTACGAAACTAGACAGAAAGTCAACCAATTTTGTGCGGGTACTAGCGTTGACTACTCGTTAACGTTAAGAAACTTGACCGTACGTATACGGTGCTACTGTAATATAAAACAGTGTGAGCGGAGAAGCGGCTCACGTACAGCGACAAAATCTTTCAAAGGATTTTAACGTATTGCGCCGTGGTGCAGTGGTACTGCCTACGCGGATCTAACGACGTAGCTGGGGTTCGATTCCCCCATCGGCGCCTTTTTCAGCCGTTTCTCGGTTTCCCTCGGATTGCGCCCTGCTTAGATGGTAGCAGATCAAGGTTCGGTACGTCCACTTCGCTTATGAGACTAGTGTGCTAACCTCGAACGGGAGGAACAGAGCAAAAACGAATAAAAAGTTAAAATGGATGGAGGATGCGGTGAGCCGGAGCCGCCGCTTAAAGGATCGCTTAGTCTCGCTACGAGGACGTAGCGAAAGCTGCAAAGGGGGTGTGAGCGGAGAAGCGGCTCACGTACAGCGATAAAGTCTTTCAAAGGATTTCAACGTATTGCGCCGTGGTGTAGTGGTACTGCCTACGCGGATCTAACGACGTAGCCGGGGTTCGATTCCCCCATCGGCGCCTTTTTCAGCCGTTTCTCGGTTTCCCTCGGATTGCGCCCTGCTTAGAACAGGTATGATTTGCAGCGACTCTATGACTATAGATTCCATTCGCAGTAAAAGGAGTCGCGGTGGTTCAATTTAATAATTTAGCACCTACTACAGCTTACCGAAGGACTAATCTTGATGCGTAAAAAAACGGAAAATGAAAATCTCTAATTTCCTGAGCATAGAGGACCTTTGCTTCGCTTCGGTAGACAAGTTGTAAGGAATTCAGAAGTTCGATAATATGTTTAAATTACTGCAGCGTAACTGTGTAAGTACTGTGCTCCAACACAAACTTCTTAAATGGGTACTGTCCAACAACTGCGATCGGGTGTGTAGCAAAGGCGACTACTATCAATTAACCGCGAAATCCACCAAATACAGCCGTTCACGACGGAACTAAGTGGACAAGCTGTAAGAGGAGTATTTTGATACTTTACAAAAAACTGGAAGGTACTACGATGTGAACGTACTGTGTAATACAGCGTATTCAGCATATTCAGAACGTACTGAGACACTACGAACGTACTGAGACACTGACATGCGTATTCAGAATGTGCTGCCCAACAAATGCGACTTTTCCCGAGCGTGGCCAACCATGCCCGTAGCAAACAAACAAGCCACCCCAGTGCAATAAGTACAAAACTAAAATTTTTCGTTCTACCGTGCTCAAGTAAAGCGTAAAGACAGACGGGGTCCAGAACGCAACCACAGAAACAGCGACGAACGTCTTGCTCCATGTTGCATCGTCATGCATCCAGTACGACGACTCAGCGTTCATCTACTGGTTTGGATCTTTTGCCTTAACCCATACGCATGTCACTTATGACAGAAAACTTACACGTCCGCAAAATCTTTAGCAAACTGTTGGATCTTTTCTGATTGTCCGAAAACCAAGATGCTGTACTCGTAAAGACGGCCGCCTTCGAACAATTCCTTATGGAAGGCAAGTCCGCGGACATCATACTTCTTGATCTGATCAGTCATCAGGGGCTCCGGCACTAGAGATTTTATGATCACTGACTGACTAACACCCAACAATGGCACACAAGAGCTTACTATCGGTTTGAAGAACGCAGAGTTGATCGGGGGAGGACTGAGCCACATCACCTGCTCCTGCCGCCTGATGTCTGCCCCTTTCTCTCCATTCCCTTCCAGTACGGGTAATTTTCCGTATATTGTCCTGTCTGCGAAAAATATAACGCGCAGTAACAGATCTATTTTTCATTATTCAGCATCGAACTTACCTGACAACACCGTCCATGATGACTGGTCCAAGATCTCAAATACCTGAAGGCGCAGAAATGGAAGAACGGGAACCTAATACCGCACAAGCACCCGAAACAGCAGCGTAACAGAAAACCTGTTCACTGCGAGGGGAATATCAATATGACTGCAAAATTCATTAGCTAGTGAAATGCTAACAAGATTCAAAAATCAAAAGTGATTTAAAATCCTCGCTTTCAACAATGAAACACTTACTCCACTGCAGAAGCGCTTCAAACACTCAGTACACTGCCTCCCCGCACCGGTCACACCGCAAGAAATCTGCTCTGGATCGTGGCCACTGGCCACTTTGATAACTATAACGTGAACGGAGCAAACATCAACACTACGAGATCTGATGCCTGTCAGCGTTGAAACGTTATCCATAACGTTGAAATGTAATCAATAAGAAGAACTTACTATAGCTTTAAGGACTGGGAAAGGACTGCGCAACGGTCCACTACGCCATCACTGTCGCATGCGGAAAGCACAGTCGTACTAATGCTTGCCGTAGTCCCATAGTTTTGTTGTCCCTTTTACACAATGTTCTCAAGTTTCTTTCTCACCGAAAGCTTTCTGTGGATCTAATAGATCAGACTCAATAAAGAAACCCAAATTTCGGGGGCTAGAAACAGAAGTTTACTGAGAAAACCGGCCAAAAAGCGCATCTGTCACCATGGCAGCCGCCCTCTAGTGTCCTGCTGGTGTCGTCCATAGCTTTTGAGGATGACACAGCTGTGGACTGCTTGTCCTTTTACTACACTCAGTAGCTGCAAATTTAAAACATGTAGTTTTGTTCAGAATACGTGTCGGCACGGCATGTCGAGAATACTAAGTGACGATTACCCAGTCTTTCGTTGGATGTGAACTTCTACTGGTTTCATGGTTGCGCAAAGATTTGAATTTCATTGAGCAATATTGACTATTATTAACAGAAGCCAAAGCTCAGTGCGACTTCAAAGCACTAAGAAATACCCCATCAAACGTCACGGCCCTGTCAGCCAGCTCTGAATTGAGTTCACTTCGAGAATGGCATCGCCGTTCTGGGAGATGAAGGCAAGTTTCGTTACAGATTCGTCGTGGACGTGGCGGATACTGGGATATGCATTAACTGCTACTTCGCAAATGAACGCCATTCAATTGACATTTTCTGTTTTTCGGTTATAATTAGCAATTCGCGTTTTCTCTACCTTTACACTAATTTAGGCTGCGCTGCGGGTGACCTCATTCGACAATCCCTGACAAAGTTGGGATGAGGAAGATTCACTTCGGGTCCGTGGATCTGGTTTCTTAAGGAAGCACTCAGTCTAATACTTGACGGCGCTATCCTGCCAAATCATTACAATGGGGCAATGGTGCAATGGTAGAAGAGAAGACAGCGTTATGCGGCCCTTTTCCCAACGTATCGGGTTCGCTGGCAAGCGCCGAGCAAATTCTGAGCCATGATTGGTTAGTCTTCGCCACTTCGATATCTGAAGTCGTATCGGAATTATTCAGGTGAGTTTATCCAGTTTAAGCGAGGTATATGATTATTATTATTACTATTATTATTATAGTACAAAAGTGAAAAACAGCATTAAGATTACGACAGATCAACCATTCGGAGAGCAAATTTAAAAAAACCCACACCATCAGAACTGAGTATCTGCATATTACAGTAATTGCTTGTATGCGCTCAAAAATGTCCTTTAAAAGCATGGCCAATGCCCGTTCTCCGATCTTCTTCTTTGCTTTGACTCCGATTCTCTTTGGCTTCCGGAGATTGTACCGCGCTGTCCTATCCGTGAAGTCAACCATGTCGATCAAGTACTACGGCGGACGGTACGCTTCGTGGTTTTAGATCTTGAACAACCATTCGGCTGCCAACGGTCAGACACCGGCAGAACGCGCAGTTTCTGATACAGCTCGGGTGTTAACCGCTCGTTGTAATCAGAAATCGCCCGCAGTGCTTTCCGCTGTGCTTTAGCCAGTTTGCCAAGTAAAGCCAAAAATGCCGGTGACCACGTATCCGACCCGTAGTCGAAGTGTGGCTGTACACAGGCATGGTAAAGGCTCCTACGCTGGGGCAGATCCAGGCCGTCTTTTTGCGCAGTTAATCCTTGTCATGCCGTAGTTAACTTTTCGCAGCACATGATCGATATGCGTTCCCCACTTCAGATTGCGGTCTATATAGACCCCAGGGTTTTCACGTGCTTTTCTTCTTCCATCTGGTGGCCGTTGACTGTCAGCACGGGAGAAGGCTGGCTATTCTTCGCTTCGGAACATACATACATCAGTTTACCCTTCTTTTCATTAATGCACAAAGTGTTGTCTGCAAGCCAGATTGTCACATTGTCAATCTGCACGGTTAATTTCGCTGCAGCATCCGCTTTCGTATGGCCGACGCCATACAACACTGTATCATCGGCGAACAATTTTGCGTCTACTCCATTTGGCATACTCGTTTGGAAGTATCGTTAATATACACATTGAACAACACTGGCCCCATCCTTGTGCCTTGTGGCACTCTCGCTTTAAGAAATACAGAAACCGCTTTTAAGATCAAACATCAATCATTACGAAGACTCAGGCGTTCCCGTATCTTTCCAACGCCACATACTTTCTCGCTCATAATGCGCAGTTGATAACGACTCGTAACGTGGGTCTTCGCGATCCGGAGCAAAGTTATCTATGTTTCGCATGGTCAAAACAACCATATCGGACGTATTCCAGATACCGCGCTGCACAGCTCCGTTTTTTAAGATAAGTACCCGTTCTTATCTCTATGAATCATAACTTGTGCACCATAGTGCGCTGCACTGGCCGTTTACCAGCCAGCAGAGGAAGATGATTGACTTTTCGTATTGGAGAAATAACCGTTAGTATTAAATGTGTGAGGCGTCGAACATTATGTGTTATTTAAAATATTGCAAACGATGCTGACAGAAGTTGTCCCAATGCGCTGAAAAAGGACAGCTCGTCAGGCGTCGTGTACGGTTGCGCAAAAGAGACCCGCCACCGGCTGCCGCACAGAGCACACTTATGAGCATCGAAGCACGTTGGTGCCATGAACGAGAGGGGTATGTGTAGAACTTGGCGATGGGCACTATTGGTACGCTTGTCGGTTGGCAAGTAAATCGGATATATCGTTCAACCTGGTGTGGCACGCAGTCTTTTCGCTATCAGATGTAAGCACTCCCTGCATCATAACATATGTAAATCCATCTTGTCGAACGGAAATATAAATCAATGGAACGCTTACCGTTCGGAGTTGCGATTAAAGCGACCGTGCCCGAAGCTTTGCGTGGCTACGGCAAGTTGCCGGTAGGGCTGCTTCTGGATGTTCCATTGGGATGGATACTAGGAAACAGAATGAATTGGGAACCGTGTGCGCATTGTGGAACGCCGCTGTACAATTGCTGTAGTTTCGCGTTGTTAATCGCCAATATTATTCTCAGTACTTTAAGCGCGACCAACTAAAAATCATGGTTTTAAGTTGTCGATGTTTTTCCTAGTACTTATCGCCCATCTCCGAAGCTAGCGTTCCACCAGAAAACGGATTATAGTGGATATAGGGCTGGGAAACTGCGATCAACGGATTCTGTTCGACAAGATGTGTTTTATGGCGCAAAAAGCAATACGCAGAGGGATCTGTTACGCTATAAACCCCACTTGCGTTAAGTACTGCCCCTGGCTCTGTACGTAGGTAAGTCTACGTAGAAATCTCGATGTGTATTTTAAGACTTTATTTACAAAACACAATTCAAGTGAATGCTAGATGACTTCCAGTGGACTAATCCTGAGTGTACCATCTAGCGTTTGCAAGCTTCTCTCAGTTCTCTTTGTGGCTAATGATCTTGCTTACGCCAGGCTGTATCTTAATATACTGTAGCAGAGTTTGTGTACGGAAAATCAGCGCTTGCAAAGTGTGCACTGCTCGTGCTTGCGAGCGCATGGGCTCACACGCTGCATGTGTGCTGTTTTCCCGTACACAAATTCTATGGTGCCACTTGATCGAGCCGCTACAATAGCTCACAGCTCACACGGGCTGTGTGGCTGATCATAAATCTTACTTTCAGAAATTCATTTGCTTTGTTTACCGGAGATGTTACTTGTGAATAAGAACAATTATTTTGATTGTCCGTAGTCAGTCTGCAGAAAGAATAGTATCCTGCCTGCGTCTGCGGCGGCATTGCGCGATATGTACCCTAGTGATTTACAGATGTGTAGTGATTTGCCCGTACATGGCCCAATGCGAAGTGTACCGGAAGTACTTTCGTCACGACATGGCGCAGATGATAATATTTCAACCGAAACTTTCTAAACTGCCTTTGGCGGAGGGGCTTACACACAAGTACCGCCGCCGATTTCGATGTGTACTTTCTCCGCGGTGAACGTCTACACCAATTAATACGAGCCGGGCGCCTCGTCACGTGCTACGGTAATAAAGAGGGCTTCAATATGGGCCTTCTAGCCGGGCTCGCTACCTCCGAGATCCTGTTGGCGTGGCGCCGCAGCTACACCGACATCTACACACCCGAATGGAACTTC